ATAGATAAAAAATCATCAAGTGTTAAATTAGAACGATGTTTACTTCGTTGATAGCGGTTAATGTGATTGCCATGAGTTAGATATGTTCCCTTGGTCCATGATATTGTTATTTAGACCTAGATGATACGCTGTCTGTAGTCGTTTAAACCAAGACAGTTCGCAAATATTACGGGAATCTTCAAACTGTTTATGTGATTGTCCTGATTGTTTATGGACTGTTTGAGTGGTTTGAAATTTGATAATTTTAATAATTGTGTTTGTGTTTAAGTTAATGTTGGTAAATTAATCTTTTGAATTTCTTAGTCTGCGGAAGCGGTATAGATGTTCCTGTGTTCGTTTGAAAAATTCACGTCCAGTTTGCCCTACATGTTAAATACTACATTTCGGTTTTGTTCATGTTACAAGATATATGAGGCTTTTGGTTTTTCAAGTAATGTCATATGAAAAGGAGAGAGAAAAAGTTCTTCCAGGAACTTAAGCTTACAAAGTTATTACAACGTTTTACTGCTGTCAATGCTCTTTAATACGTGAATACATACTTTATTTTGTCATGGATTTTCTAAGTTCCAACTGTTTTGAATTTGAGCGCCACTGATGGGTTCTATGCAGACGAAACGCGCTTCTGAATTACGAAATTATGAATTAAGGTGACAATAGTTTACCGAGGTTTAAAGCCCGGTATCATTGAGTCTTGATCTTCGGATTTTAGTTGCCATGAGCAACCCGATAGATGGCAGCACTGAACTCGGAACTTTTTACTATTCTAGAGTAACCGTTCTAATGAGTTTGTGTTGTTTTCTGCTCAAGTTATCAACGATTGTGTTTATTACATCTCTCTCTTGAAATAAAGGATAATACATATACTGAGTAAAAATAGTTTAGCAACATATGTAACGTAATAATAAATTATTATAACAAAGAAAATAAACAATAAGATGCATATTCTTAACTGAAAAAAAAAACAAAAAACAGTAAAAACTCAACTTCGTAAATTTTTTTTTTGTAAGTCAAAATATATGTTGCTAAACTTTTTTACTCAGTATATATAATTAGACCTGCTTCATAACTTGAATTACAAGTAGTAAATGACAATGACATCACGCCTTTTGAATATGTCGCACTCAGTTTGAGAAGGGATGGCTTAGTTTGCTGCGCAGCATCTTTGCTAGACGAAGGTTACGATGTAGCCCATGTATGACTAGCGAAGATGGCTGCGTAGAAAAGAGAATAAAATGTATATTTATTTCCTAATTTGGAAGTAAAAGAATCAAATTAGGTTCCGCACATAAATTTCACATAAAACCAACCAACCAATAAGATAATCAATTAAACTTGTAAATGTTTGTTTTCGTAATGGTTCTTGTATAAAATGTTTCACAAAACTTTTGCTTGATATTTATTGGTAAACGAAGGCTTTTGTTTAATAAATAATTGATTGCATGATAATAAAACTAAAGAATATTTCGCTATACAGGTGTGTGATTGCTTCGGTATTAACATGTTTAAATCGTTAAAATTTCCACTTGATGAACGTAAAAACAACAATTGAAGCTTTAAAAAACTTGAAATCCATAAAGTCTATGCTTGTATAGCATCTGAAAAGTGTTTCAGTTTGCGAGTTACAAAACGTGTTCATTAATTAAAAGATAAAACAAATTCTTTCAAGGATGTTCTTAAATTTTTATAGTCCTTGTAATCGATCATGTCTGCGCCTCAGTAAGGATAATTTGAAAAAAAAATTGACAGAAAATCTCGTCGACAACGTCAAGATAAAAAACCTAAATATGAGGTTAAGAAAAATAGAATTAATACATTGTTTTTTTTTCTCTCCATTTTTTTCTATCCCCCAGTCTCACACCTGTTCCTTTCATAGATGTGTATCATTCATAGAATAAACCTGTCTCCTCCAAAAATAAAAAAAAATAATGAAAGCATTCTTTACTTAATTTTATTGAAACTCAAATAAGTCTGCCCTTAATAGACCGCTGGTCCTAGATCAAATCGATGCATGTAAGTAGAAATAAAATTTGTATGCAACACACTCACGATCAATGAAGATTACAATTTATACGCTGAATCTGTACTGACAAAATGAATTGCTTAACAAAACATGCACAGAAAAAACGGATGATCAAAGCATTCTAATCCTTTTTTTCTGATTCGCAGATAATACAAATAGTTGTATAACAACATAATGCTTGAATAAAACTGCTTTAGAAAATGTACAAAAAATACATAAACAATGTATAACATTTCAGAATACGTATATACCAAACATGCCATGACAATGCAGATAGTTAAATAATATTGCTATATATAGTACCTATTTCAGTACGTATGTGCAACATGCTTCTGAAAAAAACTTCAAAAAGTGCACAAATAGTACAAAAATACGACAGCTTAATCATATAATTAACGGGGAATAATATACTCTATCACGACATATACGGAGGTAACGATATATAATCACAACATACACGGAGATAGATACTTAGTCATAACATACACGGAGATAAAGATATCTACTCACAATATACGCGGAGATAAAGATATTTAATCACAACATACACGGAGATAAAGATACTTAATCACAACATACACGAAGATAAAGATATTTAATCACAACATATACGGAGATAAAGATATTTAATCACAACATACACGGAGATAAAGATATTTAATCACAATATACGCGGAGATAAAGATACTTAATCACAACATACACGGAGAAAAATATACTTTATCACGACATATACACGGAGGTAACGATATATAATCACAACATACACGGAGATAGATACTTAGTCACAACATACACGGAGATAACGATATTTAATCACAACATACACGAAGATAAATATATTTAATCAAAACATACACGGAGATAAAGATACTTAATCACAACATACACGGAGATAGATACTTAGTCACAACATACACGGATATAACGATATTTAATCACAACATTCACGAAGATAAATATATTTAATCACAACATACACGGAGATAAAGATACTTAATCACAACATACACGGAGATAAAGATATTTAATCACAACATACACGGAGATAAAGGTTTTAATCACAACATACACGGAGATAAAGATATGTAATCACAACATACGCGGAGATAAAGATACTTAATCACAACGTACACGGAGATAAAGATACTTAATCACACCGTACACGGAGATAAAGATATTTAATCACAACATACACGGAGATAAAGATACTTAATCAGAACGTACACGGAGATAAAGATACTTAATCACAACATACACGGAGATAAATAAACTATACTTAATCACTAGTTTTTCAAATATTTTGGCCTCGAGCATCACTGAAGAGACATTGATTTTCGAAATGCGCATCTAGTGCAGATAAATTGGTACCGTTATTGTTATTACTATACTTAATAACTTAGTAACCTATCAGGAATACATGGGGACAACAAATGAAAAACGAATATACAAAGGGAAGACATAAACTTATACAAAAAAAAAATGCACGGATCGAGAATTTCATTGAACATTTTCGAAAAATATAGAAAACTATTCATAATACTGCACGTGAAAACAAATAACGAACATCGCAATTGAACGCGAAAACGTATATTGAACACACAAAGAAAATTGAAATACAGAACATACAAACAGTGTATATAGATATTGTTAACCAGCTTATATTTGTAACAAAACTCATCAAAGATACCAGGCTTATATTTTGTATACCAGACGTGCGTTTCGTATATAAAAGACTCATCAGTGACGCTCGAATAAAAACATTTGAAAGGACAAATAAGGTCCGAAGCTGGAGAGCATAACAAACAATTTGTTTTATGCAACAGAAATTTTCGCAAAAAAATAGACGCTAATAACTTTCAAAATGTCATTAAGCTTTTGTAATAAAAATATTAAAATTGCTAAATAAACGAAATTTGTCTGATATAAGAAACTACATGATATACGCCAGCTATCAACAAATTAAGATCAAGGATACTTATATGGGTGTAAATAATATAAAATATAATAACTGAAAATCATATTTAAAACAGAAGATTAGTAAACATGTACATAGCCGGCTATACACTATAATTATGACTATAAGACACAACAGAAAATCTTTGCATTTTATCGGTTATTTATGGCAATATATTCATAATTTTCACTATTTTTAAATGTACTCAAGGCGCAAGGATTTCATTCTTAGAGTAGCATCTAGTTTGTATATTCACATAACCGCCTGGAATCATGAGGCATGGTAAAATTGTCTTTATCATTATTTTTTTTTGATATACGGAACCGAACATATCATATGTAAAATATAATTTTAACATCAATTTGGAAATCATGTTGGTGCTTTAATAACAATTGCAACAATATTTCTTACGACAAGTTTACGCTCGAATTATCAACTTGCATTGAAATACAATCAATCTCCTATTCACCGTATGCTACAAGTTTTTGCAGGACATTTTCACATAATTACGCAAATAAAAGTATAATTGAATTTTAGTTGCCTTATAAATAAATGATACAAAGACAGGTGTCGAAGCGTACAATTTCATCCTGATCGGCTTCAATTCTATAGTTCAGATAAATAATTCATCTTTTATATTGTTTTCTCTTTTTTACAACCTGTAGATTTTGTACCTGTTGTCTTATTGATTTTTACCTGTATCGATCATATCACACGGAAAAACATCTATCGCCTGTTGCTTTTCAAACTGATATTGATATTTTTAAAGTATATTTAAACATACTCAATTTGACACCTTGCTACTAATTCTTTGTTATAATGTTTTATACAATTTAAGAAAAACTTTATACTCTCATTGGTTCTGTTGTACCCGGCACGCGACACAGTGCTATGTACGCATGCTTGCCTAAAATATAATAAAGACATCCAAATAGAATGTCAACGATACATTTTAGAACGCAGCTGACGGGGCGGATTCGTTCATCTGTTAAACTCCAAACATGGAATCGGTTGTTGTTTATATTTGTCAAATAGTTCTATTGTTCCCTAAACTTAATTATTCATGCCAAAATGATGCATTGTGAGCGGTGATTCGTTAATTCGGATGCAGGGTTGTCTCGAGTATTTAAAAGCGACTGGTTTGGTATAGAACCAGATGATTGTCAACCCACTAACGGAGAATAACGGTTTCTATTATGAAAATGTAAAATAACTACTTAAACCGTTATTTATACAAGAAGCTGGAAATTATGTACACTAAATCAATTCTAAATCGATCTGAAGGAATTGTTTGAAAAGTCTTTTCTTGTGAATAAAAGACAGATGTTATGCCAAGTTAAAAAGTATATATAAAAAGGGAACATAAAAATGAATGAAGACAAAAGTGCTGTAGAAAATATATATACACAGTGGTAAATCTAAATTTCATCATGCCAAAGTCGTTTTTGGTAAAGAAAAAAGTTGATCATCACGAGAGAGTATCTAATTACCATTACCAGAGGTTACGAGCGGTATACGATGATTCTTTGGAGAGTATAAAGGCTGTGGTTCCATTCACGCCGAGTATACAGCCATTAACAGTCAGATTAAATAATGGTAAGTACGTCTGATTGTATAGACTTCAAATACATTTTCAAAGCTCATTATTAAAAAATATTGCGAATATAAAACATTTGTACTAAAATAAAACTACTGTTTATTTGGTTTTGGTTTTGTCAAGACCGTGTTTGAGGATTTTGTGTCATGAATCAAAACAATCACCATATCTTATCCATATTATTTTATATCGATGTTGTTATTTATTTATTATTATTATTATTATTATTATTATCAAATGTTCGAAATAAAAAGAAAAAAAAAAGAGAAAAACTGACGACTGGAAGTTAAATATTTTGTTCATTTTGGTTTGTGTGGTAAATCTATTTCCTGCAAATGACTTTAACGATGCTTTTTTTTTGTTTTAACCCCGAATCTATCGATTTAATATAATATTCATAATATTTTAAACAACTGTATGAATGACCATGCTTATATATTTTTTTTATTACATACATTTCATCGAGTCCAAAGAGTTGTATAATTTCATAATATTTGTCGGCCGTTAGTCTGCTGAATTCAAGCCAGTATTTATGTTATTGATAATACTAAGTAACTAATTATCTAACAATGCATACTTTTTAAGGGAACGGTATGTCGCATTCACCCCCTAATGATAATGAAAAAAATCACATGAACGCGAATATACTCATTTAGTGACAGATGCGGATAAGGAACCTCTTATCTTAGAATGTGCAAAGCACCTGATTTCAATCCTAGTTTATGGTTGGTTCGTGTTGCCCAATATTTGCTTACTAGTATCTGCATAGTATTGTGATGACTGCTTGTTGTCTTTTTGCGGTTTTTCTTTTTTAGAAAGTTTGTTTTTATTCGACTGATGGTGTTTGCCCCTAAGTTTATTCTCCCTTTTAAAGTACGTTGAACAAAGTTAGTGAAGGAGAAAAACCTTCATGTAAGTTTCTAGTAAGAATTATTACGGCACTGTGATACGGCTTAATATATATTGGGAACGCATCTTAACGGTAAATGTATCTGTTATTGACATTGATTTATTTTCAGGCTACATTCAAGACATTGCTATTCCGTCATCACTACAGCAAAAGGCAAATATCCCGGATGAATCTGGTCGAATTTCTGAACCCGAAGTTTCTTCATGCAAAAGTGTAGAAACAGAAAATATATCACTTGTGACATCACCATCTCCTCAAATTTTTGTTGACGACATTGAAAATGGGGGGATAACCATCGGTTATACTTATGATTCTTTTTTCATAAGCGATGGACGTTCCAGGCGAAAATCCATTGAGAAGGTAACCAGGCAACGGTATACCTGCAATGAATGCGGTAAGGACTACGCCACGTCATCAAATCTTTCCCGCCATAAACAGACACACAGAAGTATCGACAGTCAGTCAGCTAAGAAATGTCCTCACTGTGACAAGGTCTACGTAAGCATGCCAGCATTGTCAATGCATATTCTAACACATAATCTTAAACATACATGTGACATATGCAACAAATCGTTTTCACGGCCATGGCTTCTTCAAGGTCACAGAAGATCGCATACTGGAGAGAAACCGTTTGGCTGTGCCCACTGCGGGAAAGCATTCGCAGATAGGTCCAATCTTAGAGCTCACATGCAGACTCATTCAGCTTTTAAACATTATACATGTAAAAGATGTAACAAATCGTTTGCTTTAAAGTCGTACTTAAATAAACATTATGAATCCGCATGCATAAAAGATGGAAGCGAATGTTTGTCTGATTCAAGTTCGGTTAGAGATACTTATGAATTTGAAAACTCGAATAGCTCTTGTTAATTTACTATAAACCTTTCTGAGAAATTATGATAGTCATACTGACATAAATACATACAGGACTAAAATGAAGAATGAAGGTAAATGCTTTGCTGAATATTAAATGTCATTATTAAATCGGAAATGTTGAACTAAAACTATGGAATAATGGAAATGTAAATATATATTTCCTAGGATAGTTTTGAATAGAAGTTTGTGTCCTCATTCCAAGGTTGTGTAATGTATTTTGCACCTGTATATTTCACCAAGCATATTTTTGCACTATAAGCTTTCTTACCATGAAGTATTTATATTTATGAAGTTGTTTTCTTGTTACCAAATATGCACATATGTCCTCTATTTTAGATACTTACTTTTATACTGAATATATATCTAGTTTTAGAAAACCTTTTATAGAAGTCATCAACGAAAATAGCGTAGACATTCATTCATTCATTCATTCATTCATTCATTCATACGTTCGTTCGTTCGTTCATCACTTCCTTCTTTTCATTCATTCATTCATTCATTCATTCATTCATTTATATGTTCGTTCGATCGTTCACTTTCTTTCCTTCCTCCATACCTTCATTTATTTATTCATTCATTCATATTTTCTTTGATTTGTTTATGATATAAATACCATTCATTCGCCCAAAAATTACATGTTCATATTTTTTAACATTACGATTGTGCACTGCACAACACCAATTAAATATTTGAGGTAGTATTTATTAATTTTATCATTGAATTTAATCATATTTATAGTTTTCTCCTTTTATACTGTAAAAAATTTGCACACTAGTTATTTTCAATTTTAAACCAATTACTACCTAAACGCTTTGTATATTGATCTTGATTTTATTTATTGTTAGATAATTGTTATTAATCCATTGTGCCAATCAAATTATAGTGTTTAAGTAACAATGTGTGAGAAGTCTAAGCATACAAATAATTAAGCCTGTCTTTTGAAGGAGAAAATAGAAGTAACATCATTGTTACAGCTCACTACTCTGCTTCGTTCAAATAAATTGTTATTAAAGTAATTGAAAGTAATACAACTTCTTATGTCTGAAAGCAATGGATGAATCATTTCAAAATATGTTTCTACTATTCTCTTTTATTCTAAATTCCCTGTATTGTATTTCAAACCCCTTGTATTGTTTCTTTTTAATATTTTGTTTTAGATATGCGAAGAAACAAACGAATTTCTTTCCCAGACCCTATTGCCGGCTTTCATTACGGTTGATACAAATTATATTATCTGTGTTCCCGATTCAATGACATTAAACACAATTGTGTTTGCTACCGTGTGCGGCAGATTTGTGTATATTGTTCCGATTGCCATTGCAAAACAAGGGATTTTGACTTGTGTTATTTACTGCAGATGCAGTACCAATAGCTGGTAATAGGGCGTGTTTCCGAGGCAGTATCTTTTTCAGCTGTCTCGTTGTTTCGATAGCAGTATCGATATTCAGTTACAAAACTATGATGGGACATGTGGCCAGTATTGTTACATAAACACTTATATTTAATTGAAAATTTAGATTTTATTTTTTCACATGTCAGTCTTCTCGCAACAATTGTTCACAACTATCACCATGATATATTTTAAACTTAAAAAAAACTTATTTTGTAATTGTTTGAAGTAATATTTGGTTATAACCTTTTTGATCAATGAAATTCTACTTGCAAGTTGCAGGAAACGACATGGATATTTTTAAATCTGATCATTTTATCATTGTTGTAACTAGTGCTTTTGAGAGATATGTGCTTATAGCATTGTATATACTGTTATGTTGTATCCAAGTGCAATTTTTGTAGCTATAACATGGCTTTGTTAAATGATTTTAGATTTTTTTACAAATCCTTTAGCTTTAACACAGTTTTGTTTAATGAATTTTTAGATTTTTACACATTCTTGTGCAATAGTGAGAACGGTCAGTATTACAAATAGCATTTTTCTGTGTTACTTGCTGAAAATAAATTTATTAGAATTATGTTTTTATCTTTATTTGAACATTGAGTGTTTCTACAGTACAACGCAGTATTTTCAAAAGTTAAGATAAAATTCTGAGGATCATGTATCTTTCACCTGATATCTATGCATACGTGTACGGACCATTGAAAGTATGTTCTGTTAAAGGAGGGTAGGAATGCCCTTTACCGTCAGGCGTCAAACGGTCATTTTCGCCTACCGTTAGCGTCAAATTGGTTAAAATTGTACCGTGATTCGTCAAAATATCCTTATCGTGATTCGTCAGAGGTCTCAAATAATTATCGTTACCGTTATATTTGGAAAAAAATTAACGTGATTCGTCAAAATCAGTCGATTGTTTTATTGTCTGAGAGAAAGAGTACATTTTATCGTCATGCACCAAAAATTACCGTTAACGTCATTTGGCAAGATTTTTTTACCGTTATTCGCCATGAAGGTACCCCCATTAAGACCCTCTTAAAGAAGGCCATATACGAGTGCGGACCATTGAAAGTATGTTATCTTAAAGAAGGCCACATACGAGTGCGGACCATTGAAAGTATGTTCTCTTAAAGAAGGTCACATACGAGTGCGGACCATTGAAAGTATGTTCTCTTAAAGAAGGCCACATACGAGTGCGGACCATTGAAAGTATGTTCTCTTAAAGAAGGCCACATACGAGTGCGGACCATTGAAAGTATGTTCTCTTAAAGAAGGTCACATACGAGTGCGGACCATTGAAAGTATGTTCTCTTTAAGAAGGCCACATTATCTGTTTAATTTTTGAAACTACATAATCTTTAGATGATGGTTTGATAAGGTTTAATTTTTTTCAGTGGATATATTATTTGTGTACTGTCCCATAATGTCCGACGTAAAACATTTCCTCTTTGGAGGCCATGTTGGTTGCCGGGCGTTCTGACCAGGTGTTAGATTGAAAATCAACCTTCTTAGCAACATTAATGTTCTTGTGTTAACCTTGTTAACAAAATAAACATAGATGTAGTATAACGGCAAATGAGACACCATCCTCAATTTTCTAAATGTGGATGTAACTTTTAAACATCAATAGGTCACAATACAGCTTTCGACAATGATCAAAACACATACCGTATAGTCAACTACAAGAAACCTCGACAAGACAAAATGTGTTAAATTCAAACAGAAAAAAACGGTCTGATTCCTAACAAAATCATTAGCGAAAAACAAATATGACAGACATGAACCAACGACAACAACTGAATTACAGGCTCTTGGCTTGGAGACACTTAGTTCACCTGTTAAAGCTGGTGTCTTAGGAATGAGAAGCAACTGTAAACACGTCTACAGTTATAGATGTTCAGTACTAACATTTTAAATTTTCCTTAATCCTTGGTAACATTTTCAGCATTTTTTTCGTAAAAGACGAAATAAATTTAGCTACCATGTAACCCAATACTTTTTATATTTAACTTTTGCATCTCAAATGCATATCTGACAAATATTCCAAAGTCGTGATATTTTTCCGTTCCGATACAATTGTGTCTCTCATTACATCTTGTATCATCAACTTAGTAGTCAGAGCTTTGGTTCTGATTTGATTTATGAGTAAAGGTTAATTTAGTAACGACTTGGTCACCTAAAGTAAATGAAGGCTAAAATTGTAAAGTTTTATTTTCATTCCTAGCACTGGATCGACACCGCTGCTGGTGGATTGCTAGTCCCTGAGTGTAACATCGGCTCAGTAGTCAATGCTTTGGTACTGACATGAATTATGACGCACGTTTCTTAAACATGTTAAATTTTATAATTTTAATAAATTATCAAGAAACAAAGTTCCAACTCCCCCTGTCAAAGACAAGGCTAAGGTGGATTGGGGTAACATTTTTATGTCCCTTATGATGATATATATCCTTAACAAATCAATTTTTGGGTATTAGTATTGGCGTATACCTGATGAAGGTAAATATAGAAAAGCGCTTTGGACTTACCAAATTTATAAATTAATATTTTCATATTTCTTATGAACTATATAGTGCTATCATTTCCCGCCAAGGAATATTGAAATTCCATCTGGCGGCTGATCTGTCTCAATTTCTATTATCTTAAAGAATTCTATGTCGGAATAGATTTTTGAAAAAATTGTCTTTGTTAATGTGGTCGACGGATTGCTGTCTAAATCATTTAAGTTATCGTGTTATAAGAGAAAACTTGCACACTTGAGATTTGCTGTGTAACAACGTTATGACAGCAATGTGTAACATCGTTACGACAGCAATGTGTAACATCGTTATGACAGCAATGTTATACGCTTACCATTTTCTACATAAGGAAATGCATGTACCAAGTCAGGAATATGACAGTGTTTGAGCTTTTGATTTTGCCATTGGGTAAGGAACTTTCCGTTTTGAATTTTCAATGTAGTTTTGTAGTTCTGTATTTTTGTTATTTTACTTTTTGGTAATTTACACTCTTTTTTACTCTATACGTCAAGACTAATTGATTTCTAATGAAAACAAAACATATCCGGTGATCCCCGTATATTTTCATAGAAGAAAAACTGTTCACAGCAATGATTTATCATTTTTAAACAGAATCATGTGGACAGATTTCGAGAATTAAGAGTATGAAGGGGAAAAAATTAATTTTTCGACGCTTTTTTAAATACTTCTCATCATTTGTAGATCTATTTAATAACTTTTGAATTGATTGTATCTGGAAATATAATCATAATTATTTTAAGCTCACCTTACCCAAAGGGCAAAAATGAGCTTCTGCTACCACTCAAGGCATCCGTCTTCCATTAACTTTTACACAAATATTTGGCTCTGAAACTGCAGGGCCAAATTGAACCAAAATTGGCCACAATCATTCTTGGGGTATATAGTTGAAATATATGTCGAATAATCCAGCCGGCCAACCAACATTACTGCCAAGGCTAAAAATTGAAAAAAAAACTTAAAATGCTATAACTGTTAATAACTATTTTGAAAACCATTTTAGATAGAGAAAATCTGACGATTTTTACCCGTTGTTTTGCAGAACTGTAGTAAATATAAAAAGTTGTAAACAGCAAATTGGTGTATAAGACAAGATCTACAAAAAAATTAAGGTAGTGGAAACTTCTGGGAGCAATTGCCCTAAAACTACGATTTTTTACCCTTTTTGTGTTTTTTTTTGCAATAATTTTAGAAGACAAAGAAACTGTATGCAGCAAACATGATCTGTAAAGACAAGATATGCAAACTAGTCAGAAACGACGATATTATCAGTAAATATACTCATCATAGATACCAGGATTAAAATTTTGTACGCCAGACGCGCGTTTCTTCTACAAAAGACTAATCAGTGACGTTCTAATAATAAAAAGTTTAAAAAAATAATTTATAAAAGTTATAACCTTTTAAAACTTTCGTGAGTGGATTAATAGTCAAGGGGTTAAGTGAAAGAATCCGTTTCGGGAGGAACTAGATGCTTAGTGCAATCTTCCGAATGGACATGGCGGGAAATTAAACAAGACAAATCAAATCAACGTGTGTTTTTTTTTTTTTTTAATTTTTAGACTCTTCAGAACCTGTTAAAATGGATATAGTTTAAAGTAAAATAACAAAAATACCGAACTCCAAGGAAAATTCTAAATGGAAAGTCCCTTATCAAATGGCAAAATCAAAAGCTCAAACACATCAAACGAATGGGAAATAACTGTCATATTCCCGACTTGGTACAGGCATTTCCTTATGTAGAAAATGTTGGATTAAATCTGGTTTTATAGCTGCTAGCTAAACCTCTCACTTGTATGAGAAACTAAAGTATATAAAAACAGTTTTGAGGCCTAAAAAACTTGTGATAGTTTGACTGATAAAGATTACTTACGATCAACAACTAATTATAATACTGGAAAACACCGATGACTAAAGCGCGACAAAAACAAAGACTCATAAAACGTGTCACTGATCATAAATACCAATGATGTTTGAACGATGGAGACAATAGACACGCTAGATTCCTGATTGTACTGCGGTCTTGAAATATGTGCAAAACGTACAAAAAGGGTACTTTTGATTAAAAAATTTCAAATGGAAACATTTAGCTAGTTATTTTCAGATGATTTTCATAACAAAAATGATAATAATAATAATCATAATCATAATAATTAAAAATGATATTTATAATAACTCGCTATACGCATCCCTTGTAAATATTTATTATTTTGCTTTCTTTGATTGTTATGTTGATGATGCATTAAATTTACGTTAGGAATTGAATTGATAAAAAGTTAACAGTATCTTTATAGTTTTCGATAAAATCATTCCATATTGTTCTATGACCAAAACATTTATGAATATTTATCCTGTAAACGTTCTGACCGGAGGCAAATGTTCACTATAGGCTACCCATCCTTCAAAAGCGTATTTCAAAGCATTTATCCTCGATCAAGGACATCATCTTAACTTGAAGACATGTAATATTCCATATGCAATTGCTGCTAGAATATTTCTACATATCTAGGTGTAAGTCAAGATATGAATCAGGTCTAACTTGTATCTATGATGAGTTTATTTTGTATCTATGATGAGTTTGTGTGTATATATCTTTTTGATTGAGTTAAGCCATTTCAATTGATATTTTATAGTTTGTCTTTCTATGCTGTAATGTTACACTACTATTTCAGGTTAGGGTGAAGGTTGGCGCCTGTTAAAACGTTTAAACCCGCTGCATTTGTTTGTACCTTTCCTAAGTCAGGAACCTGTTTCAGTGGTTGTCGTTTGTTGATGTGGTTCTCAAGTGTTTCTCGTTTTTTATATAGATTAGACCGTTGGTTTTCCTGTTTCACAGTTTGAATTGTTTTGCACTAGTCATTTTGGGGCCCTTTATAGCTTTCTCCGTGTTGAAGGCGTACTTTGACACATAATTTTGTTTACTTTTTACACATTGTAACTTGGATGGAAAGTTGTCTCATTGGCACTCATACCACATCTTTTTATTTCTATATAATTTCCTCTATTCAAAGTTCAAGAGATTTGAATCTACCCATTAAGTTGCTATCCATTTATATCTGTCGTTATCTTTATGAATAAAAGGATATGAAAGGTTTGTTGTATTAATGGTACAGCAACTCAGCAAATCTTAAAAAAATGATATCTAGATGACATATTTAAAAAAAATTCTAACATCAAACAATTGTGTATACAAATCAAAACTTAGATCACGCCTAGTCAAGTAAAGTTTAAACTTTTAAAAATCGTTTGTATGTTCTTTTTTTTCATTTTGTAATCATTAGACAACGTAGGAGAAAATATTTATCAATTGTCCGAAGTTTACTGAAATTGATTTCGAGTAAGACAATATATAGCCTCGAAGCTTTTACGGATGAATTTATTTTCTGTCTCACTGATTCAATAAAACACAAACATCCAAAATTCGATTATTTAAACGTTTATAGGATTCCAATGACCATAAACCGTACAGTAAAGAGATGTTAGTAAAGCTAACAGGTATTTTACTTGTTGCTAGTACGCCATTAAAACAAGATGTAGATTTCCTAGCAACAATCAATCATTTTAAATAGAGATAATTGGTACTTACATGATTAATCAATCTTACTGTGTATCAATTAACAATGGTTTACTTTGTTTTGAAAAGAGATAGGGAAATCCATTTTATATTGATGTTTTAATGGGAAGGATAACATCAGAGATCACCCGAACAGTCGGAATTAGACCCTGTGATGGATGGTTGTCTCCGATGTAAACAGTTTGTGATTAGTATCAATAAAAACTTATTTATCTTATATCAGACATGGCACAATAATAAATTGAAAAGTAACATAAGAAGGATATTTCACTACGTTTTCAAACGTCTGAATTGTCCTGTTGAAGAAATGATAATAAACGAACACGTTAATGGAATTTTAGTATGAACTTGTTACGTGCATGTTATCGTCTTCAACTGGCACATCGAATTTTAATTACACTCTTCATGAATTCATGAAAGACTAAAAAAAAAAACAAAAAAAAAAACAAAAAAAAAAACCAAACCTATGATACATACATAGCGGGAGACGCTTATAATTAACCTTGTCGACCCACTTGGTCTCGATTTTTGGAGTTCAGTTTTTTTTCTCTTGATTCGTATAATCTGGATGGATTTATGCAATTTGAATATCGGTCAACTAAGTCTGTTATCTCTAATAAATGGGGTATTGCCGCCTACAAATGTTTTCCAGACGCTAAAGTTCTAAATTTTGTAAAAATGTCTTTTAAATACTTTAGTCTTCTTGGTGAATAGGATTCAATCATATCTTCATTATCTTTCAACTACCTTAAATGTTGTATCCAAATGGTTCGTAATATTTCGTAGTTGTTCTGACATTCGTAAAGTTTCTACGTTAGACCAATATCAATTTTACCGTTATTTTAGAGTAAGCGCCTTTCTTTACTAGTTTTTATTGCATGCTCTTTTATATAACTTTTGTTTGTTAAATGATCTAGAATAAAAAGGAGGGTTTAGATATCAAACTGTTCAATTCCGTCACGTATTCAAGTGCTTTTCCACAACCATGAACCTCGCCAGTTACTTTTGGATATTTGGAGAGTCTGATGTTGATAATAGTTTCTGTTAAATTATTTTTGGACGATTAAGCTTGACAAGTTATATAGACATCTTTCACTTGCTTAGTTATCTAGTCTTATAGCTATCGTTCTTTCTCATTGGCGTATATAGACATCTTTCACTTGCTTAGTTATGTTGTCTTAAAGCTATCGTTCTTTCTCATTGACGTATATAGACATCTTTCACTTGCTTAGTTATGTTGTCTTATAGCTATCGTTCTTTCTCATTGGCGTATATAGACATCTTTCACTTGCTTAGTTATGTTGTCTTATAGCTATCGTTCTTTCTCATTGACGTATATAGACATCTTTCACTTGCTTAGTTATGTTGTATTATAGCTATCGTTCTTTCTCATTGACGTATATAGACATCTTTCACTTGCTTAGTTATGCTGTCTTATAGTATCGTTCTTTCTCATCGACGTATATAGACATCTTTCACTTGCTTAGCTATGTTGTCTTATAGCTATCGTTCTTTCTCATTGACGTATATAGTCATTTTTCATTTGCTTAGTTATGTTGTCTTATGGTCATCGTTCTTTCTAATTGACGTATATAGACATCTTTCATTTGCTTAGTTATGTTGTCTCAACGCCATCGTTCTTTCTCATTGACGTATATAGACATCTTTCACTTGCTTAATGTTGTCTTATAGCTATTATTCTTTCTCATTGACGTATATAGACATCTTTCACTTGCTTAGTTATGTTGTCTTATAGCTATCGTTCTTTCTCATTGACGTATATAGACATCTTTCACTTGCTTAGTTATGTTGTCTTATAGCTATCGTTCTTTCTCATTGACGTATATAGACATCTTTCACTTGCTTAGTTATGTTGTCTTATAGCTATCGTTCTTTCTCATAGACGTAATCCACACACTTTATTTTGAATATGTACAGGAATGACATCAATAAAAAAAACCCGTAATATTTAAATACATATTTGTAGTAAAACTGGTACCTTTCATGTTGTTATTACCTTTTAATTAACCTCTCATCATAAGCTGCGTGTACAGTATTTCAATCCTATATTAATTCTTATTGATGAGTATACGTTTCTTTATGTTTGTCAATTCAAATCACGATAATCTATACAAACCCTAAAAGAGTTCTGTTCACTTAATCTTTACTATTTCTATATTACATGTATCACGCAACTGACACACACAGAATATAGGCAATACATTTTCCATTGATGCATTTTTATAAGTAAAAATAGTGGGCACTAAAAGTGATATCAGAGGGAATAGGTATTGACAACGTTATTTGTAATTTAGAAATAATAGTTTAACTTATGGGAAAACATGAAGATATATAGTAAACGGCAATGAAAAAGCAAAACTCTATTAATCAAAATAAACATTTAGAGAGGCAAAGTTGACTTTACATAGATTTGGCTATTATTTTTATGTCCTTTTTGGTCATACATTCTTGGCTTGTAAATATTCGGCTTTGAGCGTTCCTGTTGAAGGCAAATTCAGAAAAGCACTGAAAGATACATGAAATTTACAAAGTGTTGTTTTCATTTTTTAGAGGTTATTACTTAATATAAACATTTAGTGGTCATTTACGAGTTATTCATGGATCCAACTAATATTGATTGACTTCCGAGTACTTAAATTTAGAAGTTTAAAAAAAAGGAATTTATACGACACATTTTTCAATATAATTTCTTTTGATATGAAAAGCTCAGGACTGATTACGTTCTGTTTGGCATAGTAACTGTATAAATAAACCTTATGCGTGCTGTCTAAATTAAAATTTCATTTGTGGTCGTTTCCTATAAATAACATCGGATGAACAGTTCATGGACGATCAACTCGTCTTTATTTTCAAACTTGTGTCCTTTAAATTTTGGAGTTATCTCGCTTTCCGCGGGCGTATTAAGTTTAAATATAAACAATTGCTAAACCACATGTTTCAAGACAGGCGAAATATACCAAAAGAACATTCAAACTCACAAGTCGAAAAATAAACTGACAACGCCATGGCTAAAAAAGAAAAAGACCAGCAGACAAACAACAGTTCACAAAATACAACATAGAAAACTAAAGACGGAGCAACACGAACCCCATCAAAAACTTGGGGTAATCTCATGTGCTCCGAGAGGGTAAGCAGATCCTGTCCCGTATGTGGTACCCGCCGTGTTGCTCATGTAAGTACAAACCCGGTGATAAGATTTGGTAGGTCATATTCGAGGAAAAGGGGCGTTATTCAAACACATATATGTCAGCCCCAAGTATTTCTATTACTGGTTAATAAAAATAACACTTCATAAATTTCGTGCGTCTGAAGCGCTTTTCTTGATTTACCTTAAAGAGGAACACTCACACCTAAACATGTGAAAGCCAGGGTGGTATAAAGAGGAACACTCATACCTAAGCCTGTGAAAGACAGGGTGGTATAAAGAGGAACACTCACACCTAAACATGTGAAAGCCAGGGTGGTATAAAGAGGAACACTCATACCTAAGCATGTGAAAGCCAGGATGGTATAAACGTTTCATTAAGAGTAAAAGTGCAGTATTTGCATATAAAAGATGCAAGGTGAACCAAATTATTTCAGACAATTCAGTGCATTCATTTAGACGTTTGAGTTCAATGTTTTCTGTACATTTATGGTTTGTTCATTTACGATGCTCAAAAGTATATTAAAAAAAACAAAAAAAAAAACAATATATATATATATATATCGACCAATTTATTAATAAGCGTCATTATAATTTCATCAAAGCAACCAAGGACTTGAAGAGTTGAAACACAACTTAGAAATGTTTCAGTGTTTGATGTAAATATACGATATGTGTCTTGTTATAAAATTTTTTATCTGTGAGGTTATACTTTTTCAATGTGCGGTTAGTTTGACTTGGGGGGGGGGGGGGGGGGGGGGTATTTTGTGACAGATAGATTATAGCTATAGATTACCATAGCTGTATAGATTATGATAAATAAGAGGAATTATATTATAATATTGATTATATCTTGTAAGACATTGATCATCAAACCTTTCCAATGAAACTGATTTGATTTTTAAAAATAATTCGGAAGGCAAAGTAAGTGTTCAAATTGTTTTCTGTTGTGCAATAGCTTAACCATTAAAAAATGCTTAAAACAAATGTCGATATAGAAGAATGTTACAGTGTGTCTGAAAGATTTGGGTGAATATATATATCTGTGTCGAATTTATGAAACCTAACAACACTAACATGTGAGAATTTGTGCGGTTCGGCGTTGTCTACACGAGTGAAGCATGTCTCTTTCGGTTTCCACTTGCCTCTGAATATCCGAAATGTCTTCTGAATGTTTTCGTTTCATCCAGTCTTGGTACGCCTTATCAGCTTCTACCGCACGTTTAACGTCACTTCCGGGTGCTCCCTTCGAGTTAGATCTCATCAATAATCGAGGGGTTTGTGAATTTTTCCCGCGTAGCCAGTCATTATGTGAGACAGTAATACTATTTTTCATAATTTCTTTTCTCCACTTCTCTTTTTCTTCACTATAACTTTGTTGTATTTCTCGTCTTTTCCTTTCCATTTCCTCTCGTTTCATGACTTCCTCTTGCCATTTGTTATTTGTATTTTGTACAGGAGCTTGATTCTTATTGTTTTCTTGCTCCATCACTTTTAATTGTTCATAATCTGCCTGTAAAATCTTGCGTATGAGCGCCCGACGATCATATTCTTGGTCCATCCATTCGTCATATGAGATTGCAGTCATAAGCAGTTTCTGGCGCTTTTCTTCGAGCATTTTCTTCTGGGACATAAAATCTTTCATCGACTTTATTCTTTCTAAATTAGGCGTCCTCCTATTCGTTTTTCGTCTTTCAAACCAGTCTCTATAGGCTGTAATGTTATGTTCCGCGGAAGGATTACGGCCATCACCTACTTCAGTGCTGCCTATTTTTATAATGTCATGGATAGGTCGAGTTACCTTTCTTGGCATTCTTTTACTTTCCACTTCTTTTCTCTTTAACCAGGCATCATAAGCCTCAGCATTTGCTTCAGAACCATTCCCACTATCATCATCGTCAAAATCACTGTCATCGTCGCTACTTGAGATGTCTTGACGAACCGACTTATTTATGACTTTTTTTCTGTCTGCCCATCGATCATGAATTACTCCTGAGCGTTTCGGCGTTGACGTTTCGCGTTGGTCGGAATGATGTGCACTTCGATTGGCTGCTAGATTAATGCGTCTCTTCATAACACGAGACGATTCTGTAAAATCTTGAAACTCGGGTCTGAAATTATAAAAAGTACACCTCTTATTTATTTGTACAAATGAATAAAAGCTTTTAAAGACATTCGCGGAATTTTTATTGGAAATTGACAGAAGGTGGACTCTACATAAAATGATCCAATTCAAACATGAGATCTTTTGTACACAAGAAATCTTAGTTTAAATTATTGTATTATATGTCAGGTGCATGAATAATATTATTGGTATACATATTGAAATTGAGCCACAACTTTGAATCAAACATGCATTTGTTGTAAAGTCAATTATATATATTCTACAAATATAAAAATCCAGAAAAGAAAAAAAATTTATAAATTTTATCGATATGATAAAAGAGAGGCGAAAGGTACCAAAGAGACATTCAAACTCATAAGTCGAAAATAAACTGAAAACGCCATGGCTAAAAAAGAAAGAAAAAACCAACAGACAAACAACAGTACACAAAACACAACATAGAAAAAACTAAACACTGAGCAACACGAACCACACCAAATACTGGTGGGGGGGATTGGAAAGTGGTGATTAAAATGATGAAAAATAATGAAAAATGAATTCGCTTCGGAGTTATCGGATTTCTCATTATAGGAAGCTTTCGATCTGCAGCAGCAACTGCATGTATGCTCTTTAGTTCACATGAAAACCATTCAGTCAGTCGAATATTTCAGCTCAACTTAATACTACAAGGAGTATGATGCTAAATGTGAATTTGATACTTTCATCGGTATATCTTTAATATAAACTTGTATAGATTGAGATTGGTCTACCTAACAAAATTTATACAAAACACTAAAACATTCATTATGTGTAACAACATCGAAATTACTTACGTCTGACGAAAATATCTGCATTCACTAAAAAGGAATACACGTGTGTTAAATTAAACATCCATATAAACGTGTAAAACTGATTTCAAAGCGCAAGGAAAACCTGTTTCGGGAATGACCTTCAACAGTAATGATCAAAGATCCAAAAAGGTCAGCAATGAATTACAAAAAACGTTTTCGAGCATCGAAATCCAAAATCCCTTACAGACCAGCCCGATTCGTCTAAAGTTAATTTCTCTTCACATAATTTACAAAAAAGAGGCGAAAGATACCAAACGGACATTCAAACACTTGAGTCGAAAGCAAACTGTAAATGTAAATGATATTGCAAAAACAAAACCCACAAGAAAAACTACTAAAGACAAGCAACAGTTTACAAAACACACAATAGAAAACTAAAGACTGAGCAACACGAACCTTATAAACTGTAAATTTGATAAACATGAAATAGATACACTGAAAGTAAAGCATTGATATAATTCTTTTGACAAAGAAAAAAATACGACGAATAACATGAAAAGGTAATTAATTATTCCATCTATCTTTACAATTTTTGCTTAGGTCAAACGACCAATTTCGTCGAGTCAACTATCATCGCAATTACTGCATAAACTATTTAACAAATTACAAACCTACCTTTCCTTGTGAGAAAACGACACAAGTTTCCCAGATTTACTAGATCTCGTTCTAGCAGACATTGCACGATCTTCAATCTCATCTGTTACAGTGCTCCCATCCAAACGGCTGCTGGGAGGTGCAAACAACATAGGCGTGGTAGAAACATCTGTTTTAGATGCTACAGGTGTAGTCTGCGTAGATCTAGAAATAGCTTTTTCATCAGGCCCGGATGTAAATTTCAAACATGACTTCTTCTTTAAAAGTGGTAGCGGTTTACATGTTACAGCATTCTCATCTAAAGTTTCCATCTTCGTTACGTTTTGAAATTTATGATAATTAGGCGTCTTCCCAATATTTCGGTTGACTTTGTTGTCTTGAATCGATACCCATGCCACAGCTCTTGAACCTTTAGGGCTTCTTCCTAAAGGTTGCCTTGTAGAATAATGAGTTTGTGGTCTTGTTTTTTGAGAATCATCTTTTATACTAGTTCTGCATTCCACTAAAGATTTTGGTCTTATCATCTGATCTTTATTCATTTTATGATTTTTCCTGTCAGAGAGTTGCAGTGTATTATATATCGCCTTCGGATTCTTAACTATTTTGTTATTGCCACGTAAATTCAGTTGCATGATTTTCAGATTTTTTTCACACATGTGTGACGAACAGCTTTGTGCTACATCCAATGGCGACTTTCCTAACAAATCTGTAATATATATTTTTGCACCATGATCAATAAGATATTTGAGTGTAATAAGATTGTCTTTCGATGCAGCTGCATGCAGTGCTGTTCTCCCAAATTGCGTAGTACCGTTGATATCTACACCTGAAAAAGGAACAGAGAATCTTGAAAAGTGTCAAATAAAATGAAGAGCAGTTTTTTCAAAACATCTACAATCTATGTATACGGTTGTCTATTATTGCTTACATCCACTTCATTTGAACTTTGGTGGATAGTTGTCTTATCGGCAATCATACCACATCTCCTTTTTTTATTTACTGTGTATTCAAGTTTGTACGACTTTGCCCCCAGCAGAGCTATAGAAAAACAGTACATTAACGGGTGTTACACGGACACTTTTTAGATGATACACGGACACTTTTTAGTTGTTACACGGACACTTTTTATGAATAGAATCACTCGTGCATGATAAGTGAGTTCATGGGCACTTTAAATTTCAATTAGATTTGAACTTTTTGTTTCACCGACATATGTCCTGTCTTTTTAATTAAAAATATTTACGTTAGCATCAATAACTATATTTTTTTCAAACAATTCCAGTAACTATTCAATTTAGTACACTAAGGGGTTGACCATCTAACTTCAAAAGGCCGGTTATAGTTTTTTCCTAAAAAAAACCATTTTGATCCCCAATTTTATGAGAAAAAATATATATTATGGTCAAGCAGATGACACTGAAAATAATGTTCTGACTCCTGATTTTCCGAATACCGTATATAATAGTGCTGATTTCGAAAAAAAAAATATTTGGGCGATAGCGTTGAAAAACAATAATTTTCTTACTCAGAAAAGAACACACCCCCTTTTGAAGCTAAATGGTCGGTCCGTAAATGTATTTTTTTTTCAATATATGGACATGAATAGTATTCTGGACAATGCTGAAAGAAATGCTGGTACCAATGTTTATATTTCAATAAAAAGACAGGAAATATATATATATAAATCAAATCTAATCAAAAGATAAGATCCCTATCAACTCACCAATGCACGATTGATCCTATAAATAAAAAGTGTCCGTGTAATACATGTTCAAATATGCAGCAAATCGTGAAGAAAATCATTCAACTTATGTCATCAATTTTGGACGGTAAGCTCTGATTGGATCATATAGTGACACGTGTTTAATCCTGATCAACACTCTCAGAGACATATAAAAACCTATAAGCATGAACATTTTTTTTTAATCCAAAACATATGCCTTGTTAATATATAATAACAAGACATTGTTTATTTTAAATTTATTTTAACCCCCCTTTCCCCCCAATAAAATCAAATGGAAGCTTGCTTACCTCTGAAATCTTTTTTTATACATTACTTACTTGCGAAGTTGCATTTCAAAAAGTTTCAAATGTGTATAACATTCACCTTTAACTTGAAATGGTTCTTTTTATAAAGTTATTAGATTCTTGAATTTTTTGACAAAAAACTCTCGGCTGAAGGGAAGTGAGAAAAAAAAATTTGAGTTTAAATTGTAACTTACATTAACTGGTAGATGGCCATTTAAGTTTCTAATATCTTTAGTTTTGCTACCTCTTCTACATGCAAAATGTACTTCTTCCTTCTTGAAACGTCGTACAAGTCAGATACAAAACAAAGATAACAAAAACAGGCCGGAAACAACCTGCCGTATAGTTTGTCTGCACTTGTAGTCAGGTCAAGGTCCTCGGCTATCGCCTCGGACCTTGACCTGCCTACTCGTGCAGAAAAACTATCCGGCAACGGTTGTTACCGGCCTGTTTCTTTGTTACCTTTGTATTGTATCTAATACATATCTAGAAACATTATCTTCGCCTAGACATTATAAAGACTTGAATAATCGGTCAACTGAGTTTTTATTTGTTTGAAAAGTGTTCAAAGATCGTAAGAAGTGGGTATTAAAATCAGATAAAAATATATAACGATGAATTATGAAATCGTCATCTGACAAGATACTTTAATTTCATTAACCCGCACTTTTATATGTTCTACTAATATCAACAAGTGTGCAAAGCATCTACAGTATTTCAGCAATCAAAAAACCTTTACCCTTATGGTGTGATATATCAGTTTTTTGAGGCATTCATTTGAATATCAAATGCAGAATCTTTATTCGTATAGTGGCTCCTTCAGAAGGACAATCTGAGTTTCTGTTAATGTTTATACGATTTTAAAGAGAAAAATTATTCTGTTATGCAAAAGGGGGAGTAATTTGGGGCATAATTCTCAAACAGACCATCAATCGTAAAGTTACCATATTGTATTCATATTTGAATTTATCACTACACCAATGTCAGCTCAACTCTACCATACTATGTATTATTTGAATTTTTGTGTTGCTTTCTCTTTACCTTAAATGTTATTGGGTTTTTATGGAGAATAACGTTTTGTATTGTATTGTATTGTTGAGGGTCATAGATATTGATAACGGGTAAAAGATACAAATAAACTCATCATAGATACCAGGATCAAAATTTTGTACGATAGACGCTCATTTTGTCTACAAAAGACTCATCAGTGACGCTCGAATTGAAAAGTGCTGAAAAGGCCAAAAAAATGAAGAGCATTGAAGTCCCAAAATATCGAACGAAGTTACCAAATACAGCTTAGATAATCTATTACTGGGGTAGAAAATGCTTAGTATTTCGAAAAATTCAAATTTTGTAAACAGTTAATTTATAATTATGACCAGATCATAATAATTCATGAACACAGATGTGCTGACTACTGGGCTACCAAGCGATCTGCGTTGCAAGTGGAGTCAAACATAGTCGAGAGGACAATACATAAATCTGACATACCAAAAGCAACGAAACAACAGTACAAACAAAAAAGAAAAGACGAACATACGAACAATTAATCGAAGCAATACTTACCAACGGTGATTAACATATTGCACATACGTAGTAAACCAAGAAAACTTGACATAAATAAAGCTACACATCCTCGATCGTAAACGGCGTTTTCAACTTTTCCTGACTCTTCGGCGTTTATCACCATATTTCCCTTCAAGTGAACACCTCCATTGTGGTATACACTTTCTATATTGTTTCTAAAGACAGAGTTATATAAGGTTTCCCAATGTTCAATAACATGTACTCTCAAAACATAACCATCTTTTATATTTTCTCGCATCAAAAGTTTCTGATGATCTTGTAACTTTTCGCCATCAGGATAAATCAAAATAAAAATATGCGATGGTAGTCCAGCTATCAATTCTAGCCTCGCTTTAACCTCTTCGATATTTACACCGGAAGTGAGGTTTCTAAGCGTGCACACACTGTCGTCTGGAAGAACGACAAACAGCGTAAAGGTGTCTACTGACATTTTATCACGTGTTATATAATGTCCATTTTATCAATGTTGTGTCCTTATCAACTTAACAATAACCTGTAAATATACAATATCATGTGTGTTATATTAGGCACCTAAAAACAATCCAGTGTGATATTTTGTCCAAGTAAATGTATCTTAACAGTCAGTTTTCAAAAACCAGTTTGAGAAGTTTGTACCACTTAAAACAACTCTCAAAGAAAATCCATGAAGATTAACTATGTAAACTTGTTTACTTACTGTCCGTGTAATTACTAGCCGTTCTCATAAACTTAATTGGTAGAGAGTAAACTTACTAGAAAGGCTATTCAGTAAGAAAATCTATTGACAAAATATTACCTCCCCTGTAAACATTGAAAACTAGATCTTTTCAATGTTTGTCCCGTTTTAGCCAGGACGCTATCAATTATAAATTCAAGGGAAAACGTTTTGGTAAATAGTAAAAATAAAAATAAGTTGAAATAAAACCAAACTTCCATTTAATGTTATCATTTTCCTCCTTAAATAGCAAACGACGAGTACAGCAGGCTATAGGAGCTTGATGTAAAATCAGTTTAAAATGTTGCTATGCGAATAAATTCCTGGAGTACCAACTTAAATTATTTTTTTACTGGTTGTATACCTCTCTGGAACATGTTTGTTATATAGATTACTGATAACATGGCATTTTTCATATCAGATCCCTTATCAGCCCTAAGTCATGATATCAGCCCGAGAGCCGACAGGCTCGAGAGATGATTTTGACCATGGGCTGATAATGGATCTGATATGAAAAATGACATGTTATGTTCTTTTTATTATATACTTCAGAAGAAGCCATACAGACATGAAAACTTTTTTAAAACTTTATAAAATTCATTTATTGTATTATTTGTTTTGCGTTTTTTAATAATATATTTTCCTGTTTCCTAATATTCCTTCTGTTATTCTACTTGGCTATCTTTTTTTACTTAAATGTACCACTGAGGTTTATTTTCCGGAATTTGCAGAATGACGTCGAAATGCTTTGCGATAACGTTAAAGAAAGGCATGCGATAATAATCGGAAGCAGTTGATATAAACCGGAAACAGTTGATATATACCGGAAGCAGTTGATAACAAAAGTCATATCACACGACTAAGACAATTCTTCAAATTTATTGAATAAATATATGTATAAATTAGTTTTATTAAGGGGTACAATTATACCATTATTTTCTACAAGTATATGATAAATCCGTATACATATGCAGCTAGATCAGAGAAAATCAGGGAATAAATTCCAAGGAATCGATTGATATGCAGCAAAGATTCGCACTTTTGAAATTAAGTTACTAGTCAAATTCAAACGGACCTTATCCCGATGCAAACATTGAATGTGAAAAGATCGAGGAGACCACAAGTACATGTACAAAAATTGTGACGATCTTTTCTTGAAATTGTGTAAAAATAGTCAAAAGATACCTGCTTTATAAAAATATTTATCTTTAATTGTTTAACCTGCACAGACAGACTTTAAATTTTTTTATATTCACGAAAAGACAATATTTCTATTTTATATGTTCATGTGACAAAAGCAGACCGGTATACTCGAGAACTTAGATGTGAAAAAAAGAATATTTACGGTAATTGTAACATGCTAAGAACTTTGTGGAACACTCCAAAAATTGGTGACCCGAAAGATCTTTAGATTTTGTATGTACATGATTTTTTTCTATTTTGTTTTTATCAATATGAAGCAAAGATTAACATTTTTTAGATTTAAGTTGCACAAGCTTCTAATGCAATTATCTCAATAAAGACTGAACATAAAACATCGTGTATTTGCATGTAACACAGTATAACAAATAATGTCTTTAAAATGTACAATTGTTATTTAGAAATAATTTTTGATCAGTATCGTCACCGGCATTGTTTTATTATTGATTTTGTCGACTCTATCATAAGAAGAGTGAATTTTCTGTTGATATCTTTCGCCAGATTTCCCACTGTATTAAATCAACAAATGTTCAGTTAGATTTTCTCTGTTACTAGAGCTGGTAAACAGCTAGTTATTTTAAGTGAATATTACTTTATACCATATAAACTTCTGAAAACACTTCAAACAGAAACAACGCATACCTGAAACTGACCGTGTTAGTTATTACCTACTAGCAGCTATTGTACTTTTATGCATTGTCATAAAAAAGTGTAATAAAGAAAAGTGGTTTCATCTTCAATTAAGTCTTAATCAATTTTTGATAATAAACCTTTAATTCATAGTCGTCTTAAATCCTAAAAGTACAATAGCAAATTACTAGTACATGATAAAAATACATTAAAGACATGTAAGCCTACGAAATGAAATGTATTTCAAACATGAAACTGATTCATATAAATCATGCAAGTTTCGACATCAGTGACTTACAAGTTTGTCATGTGAACTTGTTTGTAGATTATCGGTTAATTTGGACATCAGTGACTTACAAAGGTTGTCATGTGAACTTGTTTGTAGATTATCGGTTAATTTGGACATCATTGACTTACAAAGGTTGTCATGTGAACTTGTTTGTAGATTATCGGTTTATTTAGACATCAGTGACTTATAAAGGTTGTCATGAGAACATGTTTGTAGATTATCGGCTAAATTTGACATCAGTGACTTACAAGGGTTGTCATGTGAACTTGTTTGTAGATTATCGGTTAACTTGGACATCAGTGACTTACAAAGGTTGTCATGTGAACTTGATTGTAGATTATCGGTTTATTTGGACATCAGTGACTTACAAAGGTTGTCATGTGAACATGTTTGTAGATTATCGGCTAAATTGGACATCAGTGACTTACAAGGTTGTCATTTGAACTTGTTTGTAGATTATCGGTTAACTTGGACATCAGTGACTTACAAAGGTTGTCATGTGAACTTGTTTGTAGATTATCGGTTAGGTAAAAATCAAGTTTGGATCAGTTCTTGTACATCGCATCCATAACTAATCAAGTAAACTACTTTCTTAACTTTTCCAAATTAAGTGTACGCCAAGACACAAATTAAAACCTCGTTTTTATATCAGTACAAAAATGTATATGGATAATGGCGGGAAAAAGTGTCAATAAGCAATTAAAGACTGCAACTCTGGCAGTGTAGTGTTGGATAACTTAACAAGTTATGAGAAAAAAAATAGCAATCGGTCCGACTTTATGTAACTGTCGAGTTTTAGCATTTACAAAAATAGTTTGAAATAAGTGACGACAAGTGTAAGCATACTTGTCTTTATCAATAAATCGTGCTACAAATATTGTAAGCATTTCATATTCCATAATTGTGTACATATTAGTAATTCAAAACTCGAAATTCAGGGAAAGTTAAGTAAAAATAATCATGTCATTGTGGGAAAGGTTCGTTTTTGTGCACTTTCCTTCTGAATAACTTTCAATATGTATTTTCAATTCAAAATCAAGTTGTACTACATAACGATATGTTTACTTAATAATAATAATAATAATAATAATATTTTATTCAATAAAATATCAAGCATATGAGTTAATACAATACTCAAATATATACGCAACATAAAGACAATACTAACACATACTTTGTAAAATATAATGGCATTTTATGAGTGTAGTATTCTTAAGTGCATGGAAAAAATTTGCTGATATTTTATCAGGGATAACCCATGAAAGCTCTAGATCTTGTTTCCAATGGGGTCCCTTCATGTAAACGGCTGATAGTTTCGACATACAAAAAATGATATTACACAAATTAATATGACATAAAAACTTCATATAAAAGTAATTTAAATAAAAATTAGTTTAATAGTATAAAAAGAAGTCAGATGAAGCCGCACTATAACTTTTGGTCAAGTACTCTTTGACGCTAATTTTGAAATCCTTTATTTTCTTTATTTTTTTAACATTATTTGGCAACATACTCCAATCTTGTATGCCATTAAAATAAAATGTATTTTTTTGTTGACTCTTTACTGGTGGAACCCAGCTACTTAACAAGAAATCCATTAGAATATATTTTGACTTCTTGTGTAGATGAATAGAAAAGATAAATGCGAATATTGACATGAGAGGAAAATGAAATTACATAAAAGACTCAAAATCTGAAATTTGCAAGTAGGAACTTACTTTTTAATACTTACAAAATATTATGCTAACAATTATACTCAGAAGCGGTTCTTACGGAATCATTCAATGATTAATGACTAACCTATGTTGTTTTCTTTAATGCATAGTTTGAATAAAATAAGACATATTAAATATAGAATTTCATTGTACGTATCTCTGTACAGTTCTGATCCTCCCTTATATATACACTTCAATAAATCGCTTAGCCAAACATTCTAAAAGCTAATTCAAGATGAGAACGCAATCTGGTTACGAATGAGATAACTGGGAGCGCTTTCAGTTTTTTTTAATTCTGTGCACGACCATTCGGGTCTCTGTTTGATATTTATACATTCTACACATCCAAACGGCCATCAGTTCAGGATTGCTTCACTCAATGACACAAAACCAAGAAGTAACTGCGTAATAGTAGATGTATTTTTAGCCCAAAGATAGCATTAGAAAAAGTTTGGAACTCCCTCGGATGAACTTACCTTGGTTAGGCTATTCTTTTTTATGTCTTTTTAGGTCATATATCCCTTAACGTTTCTACGTATTTATACATCCCTAGGTTTCAAGTGTTCAGGATTAAGCGTTCCTGAAGAAGTTGAATCCGGAAAAGCGCTTCGAACGCACGCACGAAATTTATTAAGTGCTAATTTTCATGTATGTGTTATATTCTTTTTAAATGTGAAAATGACGAAAAATCTTAACCGTTTTAAAAAATATCAACATAAATTTGGAGTTTAAGAGAAGACATTTGTTTGAATAATTTTTTTTAAGCTTAATGAACTCACCTCCGATCCCATATGAAATTAAAAGTACTTTTTATTTGACAATCACAAATATATAATATGCAATATGTCAAAAGCGTTCCGTGGTTGGTTACTGGCGATAAGATCACATGTCTTTGTTAATTAACAATCAGTTCATTATATCTGTTTGTTACATACCTTCCGCTTATTAAGTTTATACCTATATTGACTTTCTATAATATATCCTGTCCTTACGATTTTCCAAGCGAAACTGTTTTGTATTATTATAGCTATAAGTAATTTGGACTGTCAATATTTGATTAGTCAACTAACTACCTGCCACAAATCAAAGTGGAAAATCTCTTCAATTAAAAAAAAAACACGATTGCTGAAGAATACTTGTTACAATTTAAGTAGGTCTCGCTCCACTAGTGTGATTTATTACTATTTTGATTTTTTTCTAACGAAATAAGTATAACTTTGATCTTGCGATCAGTTGAAGTTGATGTCAGAATTCATATGTAATGTTCCATAGATATATACCCTTTACTGAAAACGTAGACTACATTATAATATAAGGTAGTATTTTTTTTTTATATAAAAAAAAAATTGTCGTTTACTGCCTTTTTAAAAAAAAAAGTTAACAACAAAAGAGCAGACAGGTCTTGTGTGTTGGTCCCAGTTTTTTATTATCTTATGTATGAAGATTTCCAGTGATGTCAAACAAAACAATTATTTAAATATTTTGCTGCTTTCTGTTAAGCAAACAAGTGGGATTTAATGGAGACAAATCAAACTCAGCAGAACGAGTTTAAAGGAGACTGTTGATAAATTGCATGTCATCCTAATAGCTAATATAGTTCCAAGTAAGTACAAAGAGCGTGGATTCCTTTGTTATTTAATTAACGTATTCAGTAACGCACGATGTGAACCTAGATTACCACGCAACATGGCCGCACATTTTCTTATCTGTGTTTTATGTTGTTTTAAAAGAGTGTTAACGATTCTATATAATTCCTTGTTAAATATTTGAACATATTTCAATATTAAATATTCTTTAGATATCTTGACACGTCGGATTAAGTTTATACATATAAACTACATGTATCCCTCCCTCGCCTTCAATATTTGTCTACAATAAAATTGAGTAAATTTACTTTACATTAATGTTGTCTTACTTGTTTTAAATATTTTTTTAACATTTAGACTTGTATTTGAGTTCTGGCTATTCTATTTGGTTCTCTTTTGGTAATATAGCCTCTAAACTAATGTATTGCTCTCGAGCATCATTGAAGAGACATTAATTGTCGAAATGCGCATCTGGTAAAGCAAAATAAATCTAATAATCTGTTAATGTTATCAAACCTTAACAATAAGGCCAACACTTAAGCTAAATAGAAATAAGAAGATGTGGTATGAGTGCCAATGAGACAACTCTCCATCTAAGTCACAACGTATATAAAGCATTTATTGCATAACTTATACCATTACTCTTGCTTGATGCGCTATTAGGGAGCTACCATTTGATTTTTATGGGGGGGGGGCTAGGATGAAATTTTGAAAAAAATAGGCAGGACAGGAGTTTTGAGTAAAAAAAAAGGCAGGATGAGCAACTTGGTAAAAAAAAAAGGCAGGATGACAATTTGTGTAAAAAAGTCAGGATAAACTAATAAAAAAAAGGCAGGACCGATTAGAGTAAAAAAAAAAAAAGGCAGGACAGAGATTACAACTAAAAAAAAAAAAAGCAGGACAAAATTTTTCATCCTAGCCCCCCCATAAAAATCAAATGGTAGCTCCCTTAGCCGTAATACGTTTGAATTGGACAATGAAAAAAAGTCTGCATAACAGTAAAACAAATCTATCATGCAAAAATATAAAAAAATAGAGCGATAAATGACGAGGGATAGAGAGATATGACGAGGGATAGAGCGATAAATGACGAGGGATAGAGCGATAAATGACGAGGGATTAGATGGTCATAAGATAGAGCGATAAATGACGAGGGATTAGATGGTCATAAGATAGAGCGATAAATGACGAGGGATTAGATGGTTACAAGATAGAGCGATAAATGACGAGGGATTAGATGGTCATAAGAAAAGAACCACTAAGCAATAGTATATCAAAGATTTACTGGCCTTCATCAGGAACGCCAAAAATCCAAATATGTGAAAACAAAGGGTGTAGAAATTGTGAATTAAGGGGATATAAATGAGAACAACGAATTTTGGAACGGCAACAAACATTAACACAATTTTATGTTTCTTAAAATACGGAAAGCAAAAGAAGACCTTAGGATCCTTTTTATGACGGTGTTAGATCGTTGTCTTAAGTCATGTACCCAAAATCTTCTTTTTCCATGCACATAAAAACTTATATGCAGAACGGTATGCACAAACATATCAATATACATAGGGCAAATAACCGTACGTACATTTGTAAAGAAATTAAGATCAACGCGAATGTTTTCAAAAGAAAGGTAACATATAAATAAGAAAGAAAACTTTCAATAAGCCTGTCTGACCTTTTAAACCTCCAATAAAAAAGATCACCTGAATTGAATGGGTTATAATAATATCAATTATCAAGGCTTATACTTATGTTACATGAGAGTTAGCTTTTCTTATGAATTATTAACAAGATTAAAGATCAATAAATTCATTTCAAGATTGGTTTTTATTGTTTTTATCGTACGAGAATATATGTATGGTGCACAACTAAAATATATTTTATATCTGCTCACAACCTCAAATGATAAGAAGAAAAAAAATTAGTTAAAGAGACGTACACGATCGTTATAGTTAATGAGCGTGTCATTCATGAAATGACATTTTTTGTGTGTCTATAGGAAGTGATCCACTTATTGGCTTGGTAAAACCGACAGTAAAACCAGAGACTTGTAACACACTGGAACATTTGTGTGAATAAAGACAGGAACACGACCCCAGATTGGTTAACGATACTTAGAACCCTATTATTGTCAGCATTTTTGGCCTAAATTACCCATATTATGTCTACTAGTATTTACACCTCCTTTGGTCATAAGCTTCTCGCGTTTTCAAGTTGTTATACATCTTTGGCAAATGTTGGGGTTTGAGCTCCTGATGAAGAGAAATCTAGGAAACTCCTTAATTCATTAAGTGTTATCTTCATTTAACTCGACAAATATATCTAAAAGTGAGTTGAGACACGTTAATTTTGTCTATCTGCATCTTGTTTACTTTATTTTATAGGAATATGGCTGCTAGTCGCATTCTATAACATTTTTGTTATACATGTAAATCTTTTGCAGTGTAAATATAGGAAATACATCTTACATCAACTTTTTACAAATAAAATGGTTGTCCCAAATTTTTAAAGCATACAATCATATTCACATTGTTGATATATAACAATGCTGCCAGAAAAATAGATAATAAATCATGAACAATTATGATACCATTTTTCAAATATTTCACGCCATTTCATAGACATAGATATAAACAATCTTGTCATTATATTTGATACTTATCATGATAAAGTATATTCTATTTTTACACATATGATTTGGTAGTTGAAAATTTAAAACCACTTTAAATTAGATAGTAAATGAACCGATATTTAAATCTCTAAACACTTTCAATAAAATAATTCAAATGTCATTTATATAACGTTGAAGTATACGGGTACAACTCTAATCAAGCTCGTACAAATAAGTGTAAAATTAAATGTTCGAACTCCCGCTTAGCAACTATACAAATCCCTTATCATTAACCGTCCACAACCATAAAACACCTCGCTAAATAACACTAAATGTAGGCCTTGTAATTACCCCTCAGACCGAGAGCGCATCAATCAATAGGAAATTCGGAAAATAAATCTCAAATTCAAACCATATTAATGTTTCGTAATGTTAATAAATAATTGATCCCCTACTATAATGACCAAGAACAAAAATACAGCATAAAATCAATTCAAGAAAAATAAAGATGAACAAGAAAATGACAGAATAATCTTCTTATAAGAGATAAAAATCATTGATAGAAAAATATACAAACATTCCACATCTACATAACTTTATCAATATCAACTTGTCACACAACTTACGGAATTCCTAGTGATTTTTTTTCTAAATGTTCGGTCTGTTTTTGTAGGAAACATTTATTCTTAAGGACACTACTATTCTTACAATTTTTCACATTATTCCAATTCATTCGCTTCAGCTTGAAATAACACATAAGACAAAAATAACTGGCAAAATAAACTTTGATTTTTCAAGCTATTAATGAAAACCTAAAAGCTTCCCGATTATCACTTACCTTTAATCATTCTCCGTAAGACATCACTACACACCGTTGAAGTACTAATGCAATATCAGTACTTATTCCATATCTTACATATGACATTTATCAAAATCTTCTATCACTTTAGAATAAATCCCTGTATTGAAGCGATCATTTTAATTCTCATTTTAAAATATACAATAGATAATATGAAAGTCATTTGTTGTCGAACTTCTCAAGGTGTTTGTGAATTTATATTTCACCGAGCACGTTTAAATGTCTTTGTATTAAAGAAGATAAAAACTGCCAGTAAGGCCATTGAAAAGAAATAAAATAAGAAATGTTCTTATCTGGTATATAATAAAGGAACATTAGATTAAAACATGATTGTATGCACTTTGTTTGGTTTCCTCAATTAACTGATATGATTCATTGCATCTATCAAAATATCGATTACGAAAACTAATTTCTGAAATGAAAAAAGATTGATACAAGATTTAACAAAGTTATTGCATAGCCCATTTTATGTCAATATACACTGTACCTGACAATATCCGTCTATAGAATAAGTCCGTTTATATAAACTGTGATATAAGATGGTTGTCACATAAGTAAAAAGGAAGCTTCTTTTAAGTCGACAATAATATGCCTTAAAATTGACATGTAAATTTTTTTTACAGAAGAACCTGATGATATAAAAAATAAGAAGATGTGGTATGATTGTCAATGGACAACTCTCCACCAGGTCCCTAATGACATTGAAGGTTATAACAACTATAGATTACTGTAGGGCCTTCAACAATGAGTAAAACCCATACCGCATAGCAAGCTATAAAAGGCCACGAAATGACAATTGTAAAGCAGTTCAAACAAGAGAATTAACGGCCTAAGTAAGCTTTAACATACATATATAATATAATAAGGAAATGTGATATGATTGCTAACAAGACAACTATCCAACAGAGCCAAAACAACGTGGATTTAGGCTATTAAAGTGTTTATCTAAATTCGTAGAAATGTCTAGCAACAAATCGTCTGTGTCAATGAGATGGTTTTTGTTCTTTTCGTTGTCTCCACGGTTACCTCGTACATTTTCCTTTCTTCTCAGACTCGTTATGGCCAATTAAGTATTTGTACTTACTGTTTAAAGATATTGTTCAAATATATAAACTCGATCACGTCATATTGCCAGTTATATACATTAAAAAGACCCACTGATCTGTCAAATTAAATGATGCATTGCTTTATAAAGGAAGAAGATCTACTATTCTATTAAAGTACATTTTCTACTATCAATCAATTTGGATTATCGCATTCTATTAAATAACGATATGCACTTTTCTGTCAAATTAGAAAGCCCACTATTCTATCAACAAAAATATTTAAAGTTCTAAAATAAAAAAATAGAACATCCAATGTTATGTCAAAATATAGAGTATTAATAGAATATTCTTTTTGATAACATCAAATTAGAATTTCACATACTCTTTCAAACTCTACATTCAATTTTGAAAAATGCAATATGTAATAATACTAACTCCTTATAGACATGAATGCTAATGATATAATGATAATAGATAAGATTGTATAAGACGCAAAATGGATGGATCTATCCCCAATCACAAAAATAATACGAGCTACATTTATATGACTTCCAAAAGTAACACTAAAGTCCCTATGTTTGTTTTTATAGTGTGTACAAATGGTTTGAGGTCAGAACAAAAGTTGATACTAATGAAAAGAAAAGTTTAATTTCATCTGTTGAATATCGGAATTACATAAATGTACATCTCTTCGTAATACTAGTATTCAATCATTGAATGCTCATGAAATGACACACAACAGAGATTTGGCGCAATAAAAGCAAGTTTAATCTATCGCCTTTTCATGGAAATAGAAAAGAGAATGGAATATTGCATATTCAATGTCAGACGTAGGAAACTCATTATATAAAATTGAGAATGGAAATGGGGAATGTGTCAAAGAGACAACAACCCGACCAAAGAGCAGAATACATCCGAAGGCCACCAATGAAAAATCCCGCACCCGGAGGCGTGCTTCAGCTGGCCCCTAAACACAAATGTGTACTAGTTCAGTGATAATGGAGAACATACTAAACTCCAAAAAACCATACATGACTAACAAAGGCCAGAGTCTCCTGACTTGGGACAGGCGCAAAATTGCGGCGGGGTTAAACATGTTTTGTGAGATCTCAACCCTCCCCTATACCTCTTGCCAATGTAGAAAAAAACAAACACCCAGCGATACGCACAGTAAAACTCAGTTTAAAAGAAGTCCGAGTCCGATGTCAGAATAGGTAAAAGAAACTAAGCAAAATGACAATGATACATAACTTAACAAATGACTACTAGCAGTTGCTGACATGCCAGCTCCAGACCTCAATTAAACTGATTGAAAGATTATGTCTTCATCATATGAAAATGAAGCACAATCCCTCCCGTAAGGGGTTTAGTATCATACCATCATAAAATATATGAGAAGAACATAACCCGTATCATGCCAACAACTGGTTTTAGAATAAATGTGTTTATTTCCGATGCAAAGAACCTATGAGTGAATCAATATTAAAACCAAAATATGCCATCTTTAATGACCTGACAACAGTATCGTAACTGTATCCCTTCTTAATAAGTCTGTTTAAAGGTTTGGTTAACTTTTGAGGTGAATGCCGACATTTTCGTGCTTTCTAAAGAATATTACCATAAAAGATTGGATGTGAAATACCTGAACGTATAGGATGTCTGCATGTTGATTTATATTTACGAATGATGTCCTTGTACCGATGATAAAATTTAGTAATTTTTTTTACTAGTTTGTGATATCAAAAACACTGGTGTAATAATTTTTCAGTAATACATAGATTTCTTTCGTTAAAATCAAATACGTTGTTACATACACGAGCGAATCGAACAAGTTGAAATATATAAACACCATAAGATGGTGACAAGGGAACGTCACCATCTAAAAATGGATAATTAACAATAGGAAATGAAAAATCAACTCTTTTATCATAAATTTTGGTATATATTTGTTTCATTATTTCATATATTAGATACCAGTGGTATTTAAATTTGAATTTCTTGAATTTCGTTTGAGTTAACTATTTTCTATTCTGTTCCTTTAAGTGATTTTTTTTCAAGGTATACAAATAAATACAAAAAAGCTGATTAAGACTGCTGTCAAATTACTAAAAATGGCTTGAAAAGACAATAGCATATATGGTAATAGGAATAAGACCACTAATGCATAGCCCCATTTCTTTCTATGTTAAATTCTTCAATTTCAAACATTAATAGATACTTTGTCTTACGTTAAAAACAAAGTAGCATTCATTTCATGTCAAAACTATATCTTATCCTGACATGTTTGAATGGTTTTACAATAGTAATTTTTTGGGGCCCTTTATAGCTTACTGTTCGGTGTGAGCCAGGGCTCCGTGTTGAAGACCGTACTGTGACCTATAATGGTTTACTTTGATAAATTTTGACTTGGATGGAGAGTTGTCTCATTTGCACTCATACCACATCTTCTTATATCTATGTGCTGAAAAAGTCAACATATCTTTAATTGCATATAAGAGCGCACTGGTTCCAGGAAGTTTGGTCGTACAAAAACAGGTACTTCTGATCTGAACAACAGGCCATAGGTGCCTTCCTATTATAATTTCATATACTTTTTTTATCATTCAAAAGAAACTTTCAACAAGGGTTCTACAGTGATCCCAAATCATTAAGATTTCATTTGATACCAAAAATTATTCAAATTTTACTTATCGACAAAGTTACAGCTATTCGTAGGAACTATTTCGTTTAAAATATATACCAATTCCTTAAATGTTCTTTCTGACTGGGCCCGATTTAGTGGTTCTATACCAATATTGTTAATATTTATCGCGTATAGATATAACCTGCTTGGGATAACCATGTCTAGTTGCAGAAACAATTGCTATACAGCAATGAACATTTACGGTCCCACATTTTGTCGATAATTGTATGTTGGTATTTCACAAGATCATATTTGTATCTGACTGTGTATGACATGTTTACACTTAATCCATTAGATATGTATTGATTGCTATCTTAAATCTTAGATACATGATTTTTAAATAGTTGTTATTGGCTTTAACTAGCTTTCAGTAACTACAAGTACTGTCAGAAATGTACCTTTTGTAAGTTGTTTTTTATGTGTTTTTTTTTCTCTCGATCTGATGAAACTTTTTTTCAACTAATTTTTATAGTTTGTTCTTATGTTGTGGTGTTACACTACTGTTCCAGTCCAGGAGGTGGTTGGGCGTCCACACACATATTTAACCGGCCACATTCTGTATTAGCCTGTCTCAAGCCAGGAAACCTGTATTTCAGTGGTTGTCGTTCGTTGCTGTATATCATATTTGTTGTTCTTTTATTGTTTTGTACAAAAATCAGGCCGTTAGTTTTCTTGTTTGATTTGTTTTACATATGTGATGTCGGTGCCCTTTATAGCTTTTTGTGCTTTATGTATGATGTTTGTGTAGTGATGCTAATACCACACAAGTTAGCTTCCCTATGCAGATAGTATGATAGTTCTTAAGTGTACATTTAAAATTTGCCGGCTTCAAAATCTAATTATTACACTTATTAGTTAATTGAAAGACGTTTTCATTTAAATGGGTATCTTGTGGAAAAAATCGACGAAAAGATAAAACATCATTTCACAAAACACTACACAAAAACAAGATTGAGCCATACGAAGCAGTAGTTTAAAGTATCAGCAATATCTAAATTCAAGAAATAACACATTGAACAATATCTAAATTCAAGAAAGAATACATGAACAATATCTAAATTCAAGAAATAACACATTGAAAAATAATTAAATTCAAGAAAGAATACATGAACAATATCTAAATTCAAGAAAGAACACATTGAACAATATCTTAATTCAAGAAAGAATACATTGAACAATATCTAAATTCCAGAAAGAACACATTGAACAATATCTAATTTCAGAAAGAATACATTGAACAATATTTAAATTCAAGAAAGAATTAAACAATATCTAAATTCAAGAAAGAGTACATTGAAAAATATATATATTCAAGAAAAAATACATTGAACAATATCCAAATTCAAGAAAGAATACATTGAACAAAATCTAAATTCAAGAAAAAACACATTGAACAATATATAAATTAAAGAAAGGACGCATTGAACAATATCGAAACTCGTAAAAGAACACATTGAACAATATTTAAATTTAAGAAGGAATACATTGAACAATATCTAAATTCTAGAAAGAATACATTGAACAATATCTAAATTCAAGAAAGAATACATTATACAATATCTAAATTCCAGAAAGAACGCATTGAACAATATCTAAATTCTAGAAAGAATATATTGAACAATATCTAAATTCAAGAAAGAATACATTGAACAATATCTAAATTCCAGAAAGAACACATTGAACAATATCTATTCAAGAAAGAACGCATTGAACAATATCTAAATTCTAGAAAGAATACATTGAACAATATCTAAATTCAAGAAAGAATACATTGAACAATATTTAATTCCAGAAAGAACGCATTGAACAATATCTAAATTCTAGAAAGAATACATTGAACAATATCTTAATTCAAGAAAGAATACATTGAACAATATCTAAATTCAAGAAAGAATACATTGAACAATATCTAAATTCAGACTCAGGTCAAAAACCAAAAAGACGAAAAAAAGTGATCAATTTCATGGCAATAAAAATTATAATACGACGTAAAAACAACATTCAACAAAACACTACAAAGAAAACTTTAAACTAGTCAATGCAAATTCTACATATAAACCATGGGTGAACTCATGTGCCAATGAGTCGTAGCAGTTTCCATTCCATCAGTGGACACCGTCGTGTTGGTCTTAGTAAATAAACGTTCTGTGACTAGTTTCAGTAGTTGATGTCGCTTTCGATGAAAAGAAAACCGAACAGGATTTTGGCTAAGACATTGGAAAATATCCGTGGTCAACTATGACATCTATATCCCATAACGGTCAACCAAAATCATGATGATGTCCGTAGCTTTTTTGAAGGAGTGACTCTGATTTTACCATTTAAAACCAATGGTCAATATCTGTCTTATAAACAGCAACCCTCTACCAAGAAAATTATGATAGGAAATTCAATCCCTGGAATATATTATAAACTATGAGATATATACTCCATATGCAGGCGCTGATCAGTTTTCAACCTACACTCATGGTCAAATTCCATCTTTACAAGGTTCTATTATTGCTGTTTGTGAAATTAAGACATTGCTTGTTTTTGTATTTTCTATATGGATTATTATATTTTAGTTTTGAAAATCGGTAAACTGTATATATAATTTCTAAAAGGCGATATTCTGTTATTGGTATGGGAAGAGAGGAGATAGTTTCTTGAATGTATCTGGTTGACAGGTGTAGTGTAGGTCCGACCCCAGACAAAATAACATGTGTCGAGGTGGAAAAAACACTCATCAAAGATACCAAGCTTATAACTTGTACGCAAGACGCGCTTTTCATCTACACCAGACTCATCAGTGGCGCTCGAATCAAATCGTTGGAAGGCCAAATCATTCAAATAAGATGTGAAAGAACATTTCGATAGTTGTGCCAAATATGGCTAAGGCAAACGTATGCCTGGGAGAAGAAAACCTTAGTGTTTCAAAAATATCAAGTAAATTTACAGAACTTTTCAATGATATTTACTGTCAACACAAAAAGGTCGGATTACATGACTAGCGATACCCTTGGGTACTAAGGTATCACAACTTCATGATGAACTATCTTACGCATAAACATAAGCTTAAAAGGGATAGACGAACAGACGGACAGACCCAAAGACCGGAAAAAGTATGCCCTTTCAGTCGTACGCGGGGTATAAAAATAAACATCACATAATGCAACACTGAATTTAAACAAACTAAAGAAAATTAAAACAAAAACCCCCTTAAACAAAATATTTTGAATTACGATGCTCAAAAAATTATTGGACTAGAAACTTTTGTTTTTAATTGTTGGTTGTTGTTTCGCTTTTTTTGTAATGTAAATTGTTTACTTTAGTTACGCACTATGATGTAGCTGTTGTTTTTGAATTTGTTAATATAACGGAATTATAATGAAACAAGTAGGAGGTTTAGCTAGCTCTGAAACAAGGTTTACCCACCATTTTCCTCGGAAATGCCTGTACCAGGTCAGGAATATGACAATTGTTTGTCACTCGTTCCGTTGATTGATAATGTTTGATTTTGTTAGTTTTATGGACCTCCCCGTGTTGAGTTTGCCTTGGAGTTCGGTATTTTTGTTATACAATGTATGCTCACAGTATGTGTTTTACTCAATTGAAACTAAACATTAATTAAATATTTTATTTGCTGCTAAATGATATTCCTATGACGAATGGCTCTATAATCTGAAATTTAGAAAAAAAGAAATTACATTAATTACGTTAAAAATACAATAACAAATCTATCTGTAATTCATATCTGTTCTTATCTCAATTTTTGTGATGTTAGAGAGGCAATATGTTATGTTGTAATCTACCGTAAAAACATATTCCACTCGATATTGTAGAGTTACGTCCCATTTGCCGTCCTTATTTTCTTAAGTGATATAATAGTTATTCAATCTGTACATCACGTGAACGCGCACTTCTTATTACTATTATGTAAATCACATTGCAAATTACAACTCCCAATTTGATATTCTCATACAATATGAGAAATATAATATATACAAACTATGAGAATATCTTTCCAAATGACATCATGCCTCGCTCATTTCATCATTCCTAAAACCGAGATAGTAAGAAACGGAAAAATCTTCTTTACTTTTACTACTGTACTCTTTACGCTAGTATTCATTCCTCATTTCCATTCTCAATTTTATAATTCTAAACGTAAAGACATATTGAAAGAATGAGTCCAACTTTGTTTCCTTATACGGAATCATCAACGAAGATACACGCATATCTTGTTTTATACTATGTAAAAAAAAAAAAAAAACCCAACTATGATGAAGGTTCGCTGAAAAAGCTCAATTTATGACAAAATATTTAGAACTAGACGAGTTAGACTTATCACAGATTTTGTACTTACATGAGCAACACGATGGGTGCCACGTGTGGATCAGGATCTGCTCACCCTTCCGGAGCACATGCGATCACCCCAGTTTTTGGTAGTGATTGTGTTGCTCAGTCTTTGGTATTTAGTGTTGTGATTGTGGACTGTTGGTCTTTTTCGTTTTTTGCCATGACGTTGTCAGTGTGTCTTTGACTTATGAGTTTGAATATCTCTTTGGTATCTCCCGCCTCTCTTTTATTACGTTTTAAGAATATGGTTTCTCAACAGAAAATCGTTATTCCTATTGGAACCAACTGTGTTCCTCTGATTGCCTACTTGTCCCTTTATTCTTATGAGGGAGACTTCATGGAAAAAAAAACGAATTTGGCATTATTATTTAACTTCAATTTTCGATAAACTGATGATGTTTCACTGAGTAACTACAAATTTGGTGACTACTTGTATGTTGACTGCATCTATACGAATAAATTTGCAATAAAAGATGCCACATATACAGTTATGTCTGTATCATATTTTTTATTTTACTTAATCCTAGAAATTTACAATGAGGTCGGTTCAGAACCTTTTTAAAACATTTCGAAGAAAGATAATAGTTGTCTGTTATCCTTTTGTTTTTATGCTGGCATGGTGCTGTCTGTTAGCCTTTTGTTTTTATGCTGGCATGGTGCTGTCTGTTAGCCTTTTGTTTTTATGCTGGCATGGTGCTGTCTGTTAGCCTTTTGTTTTTATGCTGGCATGGTGCTGTCTGTTAGCCTTTTGTTTTTATGCTGGCATGGTGCTGTCTGTTAGCCTTTTATTTTTATGCTGGCATGGTGCTGTCTGTTAGCCTTTTGTTTTTATGCTGGCATGGTGCTGTCTGTTAGCCTTTTATTTTTATGCTGGCATGGTGCTGTCTGTTAGCCTTTTGTTTTTATGCTGGCATGGTGCTGTCTGTTAGCCTTTTGTTTTTATGCTAGCATGGTGCTGTCTGTTATCATAGAATTTAATGTATTTTTATATCCCTTTTGATATCTTCTCTTTCTTTTCTAACACGAATACATTGAAAAAACCCACCAAAACAAACAACAAAGGAACCAAAATAAAACATGAAAAGGTAAGAAAACAATGCATTATTTTTATATAAAAATAAGAAGATGTGGTATGATTGCCAATGAGACAACTCTCCACAAGAGACCAAATGACACAGAAATTAACAACTATAGGTCACCATACGACCTTCAACAATGAGCAAAGCATATACCGCATAGTCAACTATAAAAGTCCCCGAAATGACAAATGTAAAACAATTCATACGAGAAAACCAATGGCCTAATTTATGTACAAAATAATGAACGAAAAACAAATATGTTACACAACAACAAACGATAACCACTGAATTACAGGCTCCTGACTTGGGACAGGCACATACATAATGTGGAGGGTTAAACTAGTTAGATGACGCCAAACCCTTCCCTAACATGGAACAGTGGTGCAACAACAAAACACAAGAACACACTAGACAAAACAATAAACAAAAACAAATATAATAATCAACAAACAACAACCACCACTCAATAACAGGCTCCTGACTTGGGACAGGCACATATAGAATGTGGCGGGGTTAAACTAGTTTGAAGGCGCGAACCCTCCCCTAACCTGGGAAGTGGTGTAACAGTACAACATAAGAACAATCTATCAAAAATCAGTTGAAAAATGCTTAACTCATCAGATGGATACAAATAGAAATACATATAACAAAAACACAGAGTGGACGTGGCAGGGTACTTATACATTCCCACAACAAAAAGACACTAAGAACAGATCTGAGAGTACTCGCAGTTACTGACAGCTAGTTCAAAGCCAATAACAACTAATTAAAAATCATGCATCTAAGACTAAAATATCAATCAGTACACATCCAACATCCAATGGATTTAGTGTAAAGACGTATTAACAGTCCGAGAAAAACATGACCTTGTGCAATGCAAAGATCTAATTACAGTGTTGAATTGGTAACCTTTTATAATAAGTTTATTTCAAGGATCGATAAGTTTACCCGGATCGTTTCTAAATTTCCGGGCTCGGTAAACAACATCTCCGTAAAAATTCGGATGTGCTATCCCGTTTGAAATCAGTTTTCTACATGTACAACCAAACTTCAAAACCAAATCTTTATATCTATGGAAGAATTGAGTAAAGGTTTTAAGTAATTTGTGTAGTTTGTTCTTATGTTGTGCTGTTACACTACTGTCCCAGGTTAGGGGAGGGTTGAGCGCTCACAAACATGTTTAACCCCGCCACATTCTTTATATGCCTGTCCCAATCAGGAGCCTGTAGTTCAGTGGTTGTCGTTGGTTCATGTCTGTCATATTTGTTTTTCGTAAATTGTTTTGTTATAAATTAGGCCGTTAGTTTTCTCAATTGAATTGTTTCATATTTTTTTCACGTCGGGGCCTTTTATAGCCGACTATACGGTATAGGTTTTTCTCATTGTTGAAGGCTGTACGGTTGCATATAATTGCTTACATACACTTCATTTGAACTTTGGTGGATAGTGCTTTTCTACTTACGTTAATATATTTCCAGGAAAATGAATTCTTTGAACTTAATCTTATGATATTCTCATGGTTATAATTTTTTCTATGGATGTCTTCTTTTTCTACCACTTTCCTTTGTCGCGGTAGAAAACAATAATCTGGACCGTTTATTTGGCCAACTTGTAGACCTCTCCTTTCAATATAAAAACCAAAATTTATTAAAACAAATAAACTGTCATATCGCTTTTTTTGACATATAAACACAATAATGTAACCAATAAGAAAGTAAGCTAGTACTAGTAGATAATTTGTATATTTATTGCTTAAATGTTCATTGATATATTATTCTTAATGTTTGATGAAAGGTTATTTCGTAAAACTAAACTTTATGAAGAAATAAATCACCCCAAAATATTTTCGATAATTTTGGATATCGTATGTAAATCTTTGGGGACGTAAATTACGAATAGTACCGTACCAAATGAAAAACAAAAATGCGATGCGTAATGCTGCTTGACGTGCAAACAACTGATATTAACTTCGGTATATATATATATCACAGAAACAACAGGAAGGCTTGTGAACCACCCCACTCAAATTATGAGAGGACTTTCTTCAATGTTGAATGATGTCAATGGCTTATGTTTAATCAAAACAGGGGCTATTTACCTTAACATCCTACATCTGTGTTCTTGAAGCCGTTTCCCAGCTGCCTCAATGTCAGTAACAGCTGAACTACTCCACAATCGTTCTGCTGCTGCCGATGCCCTGGGCCTAAACAAAATGGAACGGATATTGCAAATTTTGATTAGAAAAGAGTTAACAGGAAGCAACAATTGATAATTATGGTTAGTCACTACGGATATTCTAAATTATTATTATATCACCAAACATACCAATTTATCGAGTAATAAAAAAAACTTGCTTGTCATTAAGAATGTCATTACATTGAATGCAATGAGACTACCTAACAGAAATATCATACAGCATTACTAATAACTGGAAAGGTGTTTGCCGGTTTTTTAATTTTCTCTTCCAAAATGTCTTCATTAATTCCCACAGCCTCTCATTACAACAAGGTGTTTACAGCTAAATCAATAAGTATAAACTTTATATCGAATAAATCTGCAACAAATGAATCACAAAAAGTTAAAAAGAGGGCAAGAATTTATTTCATTTAACAATATTTTCGTTACCTTTTTTGCTATGGAAAAAAAAGGTTTGTGTCGAAAGCTCTTAAATTTCGCCTAATCCGATACACACCACGCTATTTATTATGAAATAAAAATACCCCAAATTGAAATTTCAACAATAAACCGGTGTCGATTAAGTATATCGTGCTGTACTATTGTGACTCTTGTTAAACAAACTATGAAAAACAAAATTGAAAAACAAAACCAAAAACCACACACTTAACTTTGGTGTGAAATATCACTTTTTATAGATTTTCACAATAAATCCTTATAGATAAACTCAAGATACAATTTTGTAGGCCAAACGTGCGTTGCGTCTACAAAAGATTCACCAGTCACGCAAAACAGTTAAAAAGGCCAAATAAAGAACGAAGTTGAAGAGCATAAAGAATCTAAAATTCCGAAAGGTTTAGCCAAATATAGCTATTTGAAACAACTAGTAAAACTTTTATCATATATGATATGTATCCCTTTGACAAAAAATACTGCGTCCTTGAAATCTGAGATGTTACTCAATACACGCGCAGATTGGAACAAGTAAAAAAGGTCTATATGGAGTCAAGGGAACATCATCATCAAGAAAGATGAATTAATTAATAACAGAAAATGAAAATCGTCCTGTTTACCCTAACTTTGGGTACTAGTATTTGATTTCATTTGCATATTCAGAAAATATCTGGCTTGTCTAAGACAATATGTCGTCTCAATATCTGCAAATTTTGTTGCAAATATCTTACAAATATTTTCCTGATGTTTCTTTATTAAGATTATCTCTACATTGCGATTATAATAATAAAGCAACATGTTTCTGATAAGAGAGACATAGTTAGTGCTATCACAATTACAATGTTAGTTTTAATATCACAATCGGTCATCTGATTGGTTGTTACAGAATACTGTTTTATATGTGTGTCTATAGTTTGGATAATTAAAAGCTCGATTGGGTATGCTTCCACAAAAGCCTATAACTAAATCTATTGCATAATTCACTTTTATATATATATCTATTTTTATAATACATTGAGAAACTGTGTCTCATTAAATAGTGAGCTTCGATTGGTGAATACATGCCATAACTAAAAATAAGGAGATGTGGTACGACTGCTAATGATACATACATCCAACAGAGTCAAACTGTAGCGGATTTAAGCAACAACATTGAGTAAACCCATACCGTATAGTCAGCTATAAATATAGAATGTAACGGGGTTAACTTGTTAATATCTGTACCAAGTCAGGAATATGGCCGTTGTTTTTCACTTGTTCCGTTGATTGATAGTGTTTGATTTTGTCCGTTTTTATGAACTTCCCCTTTTTGAATTTGCCTTGGAGTTCGGCATTTTTGTTATTATTTTTGTAACAGTTAGTTTGATTCGCAAAGACTTATATCCACTGTATCATAAACTTGTCATTCGAATTTGATCGAACATTCTGTAATTTGTTGTCCATGTATTCGTTGTTTGAATATCTGATTATTTTCCTTCTTCATCAATTTTTTTTTAATTTGTTTTGAAGACTGTAGCTTCTTACCAAAGTACAGATATTGCAGTCTCGCTGGTAATATATTCACTCCATAAACATACTTCCCCTCCAAGGATTTTGTCTTCTCCTAAAAAGTTTGCAAATACTCTTAAGTTCACAAAAGAGATTTTATATGTGTATATGTTATCTCGTTTAGTTTTTGTATTGTTCGGTTGCCTTTCATTAAAATATACTTCATTTTCTAAATAAAATACGAAGTGCCAAAGAATAGGAAATTTCTCCATACGGAATAGTTTTATTTTCAAAAAGAGAGATACATTATGGACATTAACGGTTAAACCATGGGCAATACAGAAATGTCAAATCAGACGAAAAATTGTCTCTCGGTTGCCATGAACACGAAGCATGGGAAAACGGAAAGTCCGTTTCTTCTGATCTACGTACGATAATGTCTACTTTCTATGTGACATTATGAGGAAAATTCACATGTATTGAGTCTTCACAACAAAATCACCAAAAAAACTACAAACAGCAAACAAGACATGATGCCGAAATAATAACGTTAAATTAGACATAACAGTAGTATACCGATGTTCATTCGCACAAATGCATTAAGAAGATACAAATGAAGGTAAAACAAAAATTGTGCTGGCTCGACCAGCCAGTTTAAACCAAGTGATTGGGTTTAAGAAGATATAAATAATCGGGTGTTCACTGTTATTATAGTACCAATCCAAAAGTGGTAAATAACTGAAAATACGAAATAAATTACAATTTTACAATGTGTCAAATAATTGATAATCCGGTATGGAGTAACGGCGTAGTCCGGAATGTAGCAATTCAATGCTCCGATACGGCGTAGTCCACAATGTAGCAATGAAATACTCTCAGTATAAAAATAGTTAGAATTATACTAAGATTTGGTTACAAAGTTAACTCCGGAAAATATAAACTTATCGTGAATATAATTACACAAATTATATAGATAAATTAACGGATCCTAGACAACACACTCCCTGTCTGATGATATCAATCTGATATCACTATTCCATAAATAAATCGCATATGAATATAAAATATATAAATCCCAATATAATTTGAATATGTACAGGAATCATTTCCACTATTGGTCGTGTGAGAAATGTCGGTTCTCAACGACTTATAGAATTTCTTTAATAAATTCACAATTAATCCCATTGAAAACTGGGTACGACACAGTTTCTCGTTCTTCAGAAGAAGGATGTATCCGACGATAGCGCAGAGAACTGTGTAAATTTTCCATTGTTGTTGCAACGGTATTTCTCCAACGTTGATAGATGTAGATCAAAGATGGTCCTCTAGTAGGTCAGACGAGAGTTCGTATTTGGTCCTTTTCTGAGTTTGCGGAATGTCACATATTTGTGAGTATCAGACGAAATCAAGCGTATCGTTTTAACGTTCCATCCTGCGGATCTAGTTTCTTTATCTGTGAAGTGGCGACCTCAATGTTTGATTTTGTCGTAGTAGTGTCCGACAAAAGGCGTTACTATATGATTATGTCCAGTTAGGATCACTGGTTCCTTTTCACTAAGATTCAGATTTGACGATAGAGCTTCCTACTCGGGTTAGTCCTTGCTTGTTCAAAGATGGATTGAGGTTGGCAATCGGTCTTCGTTTCGGAATAGGTTTTTGTTTGCGAATGTAACTTATTTCTTCTCCGTGGACTTCAGGTCTTGCTGATTCCAGAATGAAATTTATGCGTTATCCATAGAATTCTCTATAGAAGTCACAGATTTTGCTTTTGGTGACACAAGTGCTGTCCCTGAAATTCATTAATCTACCAGACTTGGTACTGAGTCCAGTAGATTCAGCTAATTGTATGCCATGTGTTTTTGCGACATTGACAGTTGAATTGGATACTTTACCAGCTAGTTAATTTTCGTCCTCAAATGCTTTTTCCGGTTTTGAGGCAAGTAGTTGTTCTGGTACCGTAAGCAAGATGGTAGTTATCTTCGTGTTGACTTCAAATGCAACGGATTGCTTATCGATGTATGTATTTCCAATTATGACCCAACCGAGTTTTAACCTTTGGGCAAATGGAGTTTTGGGTGGTCCTAGGCGTTGTTCAAGGACGTTGTGTACCTCTATAAGGTCCAATTAGCAGTTGAATTTTGCAGTGTTCATCAAACGGTGGAATTCTTTCGCTAAGGTCTCTTAAGTGTGGATAATGCAAAGTGTCTCCAGGTGTCGGAATTTCGTCCCGATTATTGGGAATATTATCACATTCAATTAATGTAGGTAGATCGAATTGTACGTCACCGTGTACAGATTTCATGACGTAATCTCTTCCTCTTTTCTCGGAAGTAGCTATTCTGCCTGAGCATGTTGATAGAGTGTAGTTTTCCGGTTTATCTCGTACGTCAACCAGACTGAAGAATTCAGGCGAGTCAAGATACCAGTTGCTTTGGTCGTCAATGATGGCGTACATCCGGATAGTTTTGTCCGTCTTGTCCTTGTGGTACACATCCACAGGTAATATCTTGGCACAAGATTTCTCACTCTTAGGATCCTTAAAGATCTCTGTGCAGGTCGAACTCACAGAGGGTAATTTTGTTTCAGCTGACTGTGTCTGCTCCCCGCCGTAGATTGAGAAATTGCGTGTGGTTGCATCCTTGTAATATGTAGTGCGATGGTTTGCTTTATACTTCCACACTCGTTACAACTGATACACGCATTGCAATCCCGAGGCGTGGTCACTTCCAATAACTGGAATTTCAAATCTGACCAGAGGGCCTCTATCTCCAGACAGAACGTTTCTCTATGAATGCTCTCCGTCCTTTTTCGGTGAGTTCACGTACTCGCCTAGATAAATTAACGGATCCAAGGCAACACAAAAAAAATAAAAAAAGAAGAAGGAATTCCATGATCTCTCCCTAAAGAGCTAGACCAAATGCGTCGACAGGGTAAAAACCCATTCAAGATACCAGGCTCATAATTTTGGTACGCCAGACGCGCTCTTCGTCTACATAAGACTCATCAGCGGCGCTTGAATCAAAACAGTTACAAAGACAAATCAACTATTACGAAGTTGAAGAGTATTAATAACCGAAAAGTCCGATAAGTTGTGACAAATATTGCTAAGACAATCTATACGTGGGGTAGAAAAACCTTAGTGTTTTAAATATTTCAACATATCACAAATAGTAAATTTACATAAAATGAACATATCAGTGATATTTTATGCCAGCACAAAAGTGCTGACTACTGGGTTGGTGATACAATTTAAAAGAACTTGTTATGAAATAATAAGTCTCTCGCCTCGTGCAACAGAATATAAATATTTGATGCCTTTACTCTTTACACTAGTATTCTTCATTTTAAACATATAAACAGATTGAAAGAATCAGTGCAAATTTGTTTCGTAAAACATCATGTAAAGACAAAATTCACATAACATATGGAAAACATCACATCATGTTACGATAGGAAAGGACATCATATTAATGAAATAATAACATAAACAGTACAAATTATACTGCACCAGATGCGCATTTCAACAATTATTCAATCGTTTATATAACAGTAATTACAGAAAATAATTTGATTTTTTTGTTAAGAAGATAGCTCAGGTCTAAATATTTGAAAATCGAACAAAAATGTCTCGATGCAATGGAAGGTTTTAGGAAATCTGCTATCATTGACGAAGTTTTCACGAATAAGAGCGAACACAAAACTGAATAGAAAAAAAGTTTGTTAATGGGGGAAATCTTATTTTCATATCTGAAAGACACGTGGCCTAAAGCAATAGCAACACGACAAACAGTATTACAAATAGGGGCAACAGCAGTATACCGCTGTTCAAGTCATAATTCGATAAAGCAAAAACAAGTCCGGGTAACAAACTAAAACCGAGAGAAACACATCAACTATAAGAGGAAAACAACGGAACAACAGAAACACTGAACTACAACAAAAGCAAACATACATAGAAACGGACTGTGTGATAACAATTGCCATTTTCCTGACTTGGTACAGGACATTTTAAGAAAAACTGGATGGTTGAACCTGGTTTTATGGCTAGCCAAACCTCCCGCTTATATGGCAATGTTAAAAATACAGCTAAAATGACAACACTGCGTGACAGGAATACAGTACAAACAAACACAAGAACACTCAGCACAGAGAAATACATAGATAAATAATATCATAATACATTACAACATGTAAACCGCAGAATAACAATGGACACCTCCCATGAATTTACGACAGCACACCAGGACACCACAAACGAAATATAAACTGCGCGTCACATGAATGGACAAACGTTTCGAAAAGTGACGTATTTTATGTGACGTTTATATTATTTATACAGGTAAATTTCTAGAAATAAAATAGATTTGTTTAATTCAAAGAGACGTACAAGAATATAAATTGAGATTGAGTTTGTAATGGTGTTATTTTATGTATTTTTTAACCATGACAAGAATATTAAAATGGAATTGTGTTTGTAATGGTGTTAATATTTGTATTTTCTAACCAAGTTGGTTTTTCTTCTAAAGTAAAACTGTATATAAACAAAAAAATCGTGTGCATATAGTTGTTTTAAACTTGAAATCATATTAATGAAGTAGCTGATTTTTTATCTTAACTTTTACATACATATAGAAAATAAAAATAAAAATGGAAATAAAATAACTGTAATATAAGGCAAGATCGTGTAAGACCAAACAGTAAACACACATGAAAACAAACAACATAAAACATAAACAGTAGAAAATACAAATGGAATTACATAGAAGATGTGGTATGAGTGCTAATGAGACAACTCTCCATCCAAGTCAAAATTTATAAAAGTAAACCATTATAGGTCAAAGTACGGTCTTCAACACGGAGCCTTGGCTCACACCGAACAGTAAGCTATAAAGGTACACGTTAAACCAAAAACAATATGTTTGTTGGATTTTTGTTACAGATTGATTCTGTAGTATTGATATTCGGCATTAGAGTGTGATAATTCATTCCAATTGTCCCATTGGTGACCTTAATGCTACTAAAAGGACATTATTACGGAAATTATATCTTGTAAGAAAACCCTGGTACAGAAGACTCACGCGTGACTTCGTTTTCAACAGAGTAACATTTGTATTGCAAAATAAACCGAGCTTTGTTCGTCTTTTTAGGTTAACTACTCAGTCCCTTTGTTATATGGTTTAAATAAATTAAAATCTTACGAGGATCTTTAAATGTAGGTTCACACTTGTAGTAATTCATCCAGTGAACACCATGCGGTATATTATCCAAATACCAACAAGACGAAAACAAAACGCGATAACCTTGGTCTATTGCTCTCAAAACTTCTCTAGCCCCTCCTAACCATATTTGGATGATGGCGTCTTTAGGAACCTTGAAATATAAAAGTGAGTAGAATACATATTAGGGACACGAAATTCGAATTCGACTATCACAAAGTTGAATAAAGGAATTCTTAACTACTTGCTAAAAAAGATGCAATATTTTAAAATGTTCCTCCAAATGCATCCTTTGTTTGTCACATCATTGCCATATGTTAATGAGTATACGTAACAATTATGTTACATAAATGATAAATGACAGCTACTGACAATTAGAAAAGATGTTTTAAGTTGAAAATTCTAGCAATGTGTTGATTATAAACTAAATAAGTGTCTCGTGCAAAGATCTGATTCTTTGTCCAAGTTAGGCTTCATCTGTGGTCTTTTAAAAAAATTTCCAGCTCTTCAACGGTTTTTGTTGTTTTTGAATTTTCAAACATTTTGGCCTCAATCTTCACCGAAGAGACATTACTTTAACACTGAGAATCTTGCAGATCATTATGCCTTGCCCTTTTCAACAACACTATTTTCAAGTGACAGTCCGAATTCCTGTTTTTTTACAAAAAATGTAAAGTTGGAAGGAAATCAATCCAAGAATGTTGGAGTTATTAGCTTTGTGAAAAATTGCCTTAAATCTAGGGTCAAAGTCATGTAGCTCTGAAACGACAAAGCCCCTAAAAAAAACCAAACAAACATGAAAAGGGGGCTTTCTATATTTCATTCTAATGTTAAAAAAGAGGGACGAAAGATACCAGAGGGACAGTCAAACTCATAGATCGAAAACAAACTGACAACGCCATGGCCAAAAATAAAAAGACAGACAGACAAATAATAGTACAGATGACACAACATAGAAAATTAAAAACTAAGCAACACGAACCCCACCAAAAACTGGGTTGTGATCTCAGGTTATATGAGTATTGATTTAAGGGAATTTGAATTATCGTACGAATATTGATATACCATAATACGTCCCGTCTTCCAATAAATAAGGAAATAAATAAAAATAAAAAATAGGCTTAGTTACATGTATATCCAGCCTAAATAAAAGAAGAACAAAAGCTTTAACACCAGACGGTATATTATCCAAAGACCAACAGGACGAAAACAAAACGCGATAACCTTGGTTTATTACTCCCAAAAGTTCTCTAGCCTCTCTTAACCATATTTGGATAACAAAAAGAAGAAAAGAAAGCTTAAATGAACTTAGTCCCCCCCCCCCTAAAAAAAAATAATTAAGAATTAAAAAAAATAACATCAACAAAACAAAAAAGTCATCTTAAGGTCCTAATAAACTTGATCGTATATCTAATAATGTTGCTTACTTTTAAATTATATTTTGACACCTCTTCCCAAAGTATACATTCGCCAGTCTCATTTCTTGACTTTCTTTTTTCATTCAATATATCGAATAATCTACAAAATAGGTATTTAAAATCATACCAGTTTATTGCCGGTGGTTATCAATTTGTTTTGCCTTTTTATCCTTGTCAGTACAACGAGGGAAAATATAATATTTACTGGGATTGTGTGTATCTTGGTTGTATTAATATTATCTTGTCGTTTGAAGGTCATACTGTACGATCAATGTCACACTAAACTCCGAAACATATAAATGAACCAAAATTAAAAAAAACCATACAAGACTAACAAAGGCCAGAGGTTCCTGACATGGGACAGGCGCAAAAATGCGGCGGGGTTAAACATGTTTTGCGAGATCTCAACCCTCCCCCTATACCTCTAGCCAATGTAGAATAAACAAACACACAGCAATACGTACAGTGAAACTCAGTTCAAAAGGAGTCCGAGTCCGATGTTAGAATAGGTAACAGAAGAAAACAAGCAAAATGACAATGATCAACATAAATTAACAAAGAAGAACTACTAGCAGTTACTGACATGCCAGCTCCAGACCTCAAACATGAAAAAAGGAGATTTGAATGCCAATGAAAAAGCTATCCAATAGACAAAAAAAACCCAAAATGTTAAAAAAGTATGAGACGCTCCTCCAATCGACGAACTCAGTCTCGCTACTTTTGATTGTGTCAGTGTGTGTTTGCTATTATAATTTGTTTTCTTAATTGATTTTTAGATTTGAACATTGATAAACTACTGCTGCCTCGTGATCTGCAATGTAAAAATGCATCACTGTGTACCTTCAACATTATAATCTTAGAGCAGCCATTTGAAAACGTAGTATTGCCCACCGTATTGACCTTTGACTATGATTGTAAGTCAAACCATCCTTTCAGTCGAAATTTAAGATATACTTATCACACAGATCTCAACCGACTAATTACATTTGTACCACTATCAAGCCAGCAACATTGCAATGATGTGTTTATAAAACCATTTCTCTTTATGCGTACCTGTTCACATAAAATTTCCAGACATCAATCATACTGCAATGTGTAATAGAATTTTTAAAACGTGTTGACGATCCCTGTTGTATTTCTCTCCTGGTTAAATTGTGTAAAAAATTACTTACTTCAGGATTCGAATTCCTAAAATCAAAAAAATTACACGATTCTGTGAAACAAAGATATCTATAAGCGAATTCAAATTTCCACTTAATTAACGTAGCTTTCATAATTTTGGACGCAAATGGACTTCTACTTTTATAAATTTTGACTTGGATGGAGAGTTGTCTCATTGGCACTCATACCACATCTTCTTATATCTATTTCAAAAGAAAAAGAGTATTTGTGTGGAAAAGGTGGGTGGTAGTTGTTGGACCAATTGTTATATCTAGGAGCTTTCTCAGTTGTTCAACTAGATCTGTATTAATATGTATGATAGATATATAAAATACAAAATAAAGATAACCATATAATATTGATAAATATACAATATATGTACATTGTCGGAAAATATAAAATCTATTTGTATATACGAGCTTTAGAAACAGGACGAAAAGCAAGGCTCGCCGAGCTTTTCTCCTGTTTCGTAGCGAGTACGCATAAATTTCATATTTCTGACAATTTACATTTATTGTGTTTGTCCTGTAATTTACACCCGGCACTTAACTTAAGGTTTAAGTATTTAACTCCAAATAGTTGTCTCTGATTTGTCAAAGAAGTTGGTTAAGTTTAAGCGCGGACCGCGAAGAGGAACCCAAAATGAATTGTGACAAAAACAGAAATATCCACATTACCGTTTGCTCATTATGGACGCGGAGTAACAGGGGACTTTATTTGTACATGTACAAATAAACCACAAATTTATTTGTGTACCTGTTATTTGTACAATAGTTGACTGATTGCAGGATGATATGATTTTCAGGAGTTTGTTGAATGACTCTCGAATTGCACCGATTATCTTTGTGTATTCATTGCGTAATACAACATTACATGAGACAAAATATCAGTTAATTTCACATCAGTTGCGCCCAAAACTAAATATTGTTATTCAAAAAGTACAGAAGAGAAAAAAAAAAAACAACATTGGACACTATAGAAAAAAGATAACAAAATCAATTGCATCAATCACATTCAATCTTCCTGTCCAATGAAATTAGGCTTAATCATGATGTGGGTTTTGTTCATTGTTGAAAGTCGTACGGTGACCGATTATCGCTTACATACATTACATTTATTCTCTGGTGGATTGTTGTCACATTTGCAATCATATCACATCTCCTTTTTTATATTATACTATCCTTTCAACTTACGGAAAAGCGTGATGACCGATGTAAATCACTTATACACAATTATACAAACACATTTGATAATGTAAACTTAATTATCATTGAAATGTAAAAAAAAATATTTCATTGAAAAAAAACCACAATTGTAACTTTAAAGAAATGTGTGACATTTACCTAGCTTGTTATTTAAGGAATGACTGTAATATTTTTTCTGTCTATGAAGAAATAACATAAAAAATGTGGTGCACACTGAATAACTCGCGTAGCGGGTTATTTATAAGTGTGCACCACATTTTTTAGGTTATTTCGAATAGACAGAAAAAATATTACAGTCATTCCTTATAATTTAATTCTAAATTCCATTTTTAAGGAGTAAATTTTGAAAAAAACGTTGGTGACGTCACGGTCACATGACAAAATTATGTCTATGAGCTGATAGACAAAACACTTTCAGCCAATCAGAAGACGTGTTACATCCAAAATTAAATTATTTGAAAATAAGATTTTTTTGTTCGAGTTACATATTACATTTAATACAAATGAGGAATAATAAGAAATTTTTTTACCAACATTCCAGAGGAACTTCATCACTACCAAGGTGCAAAGTTTTATCTGGAAAAATGTTGATAATTTCTGTGTAAAGTTTTTCTAAGAACTGATATGTTGTATTTCTGGCTGGATTTAATGGTCCATAACAACCAGGAATCTTCTGTTTTCGTTCGTCATAACACTGGGTTAACATTTCAGGATGTCCAAATCCCCAACCATATACATGACCTACAATAAAATTTAGATCGCTCATATACGCATTGAGTCTCTTTTCAATGTGTAAACAGTGACAAATTTAGAGGTTTCTTACTGTTGGTAACCTCTAAATGTCTATAGTTTTTTTTTTATGTTTGATTGACATTTATCGAAGATCTTCATTTTTAGCTCAGCTGGCCTAAAAGGCCAAGTGAGCTTTTCTCATCACTTGGCGTCCGTCGTCCGTCGTCGTCGTCGTCCGTTAACTTTTACAAAAATCCCCTCCTCTGAAATTGCTTGGCCAAATTAAACCAAACTTGGCCACGATCATCATCAATGATCTAGTATAAAAAATGTGTCGATGACCCCACTTGTCAACCAAGATGACCGACACGGCTAAAAATAGAACATAGGGGTAAAATACAAGTTTTGCCTTTTATTTTGAAAACCGCTAAAAAGAGAGAATATCTTACAGGAGCAGAAATGTTCAGAATGTTGAGCTTACCTATTGTTAATTTACGTGATAACTGTGAGACGAATTCTTATACGAGTTTTTGCCCTTAAATGATGAATTTTACCATTTTAAAATTATTTTGCCTATTATCTCGAAAATTATAATAGATAGACAGAAACTTTAAATAGCAAAAATGATCAGCAAAACAAGATCGACAAATAAATCAACATGATCGAAATCTTCAGTCGACTCCTTATTAGAATTATTGCCCTATAATGACGATTTTTACCAATTTTTTTTTGCTTTTTTGCCTAATATCTTGAAAACTGTAAAAGATAGGTAGAAACTTTAAATTGCACAAATGATCAGCAAGACAAAATCCAGTTGACTCGTTATTGGAGTTATTGCCCTTTAATGATGAATTTTAACATTTTTTGCATTTTTTTACTATTATCTAACAGATAAATAGAAACTCTAAAAAGGAAAAATGATCAGCAGGATAATTTCTACAGTTACATGGACTTGACTGAAATTGTAAGTTTACTCTTAATAGAACTATTCCTCTTTAATAATGATTTTTACTAAAAAATGTCCATTGTTGAGGATGCAGGTGAGCGAAATAGACTCTTTAGTTCCTCTAGAACATATACAAAAACATATAATACAAAACATTATTTATAATAATTCAATTATGATTTGCATAAACAAAATGTGAGGGTAAACATTAAAGAGCCAGCAACCGAACACCACAAAAAAGTCATATAAAGGTCTTCGTACGGTATTCAACAATTTCTTGATTATATGATCAAACCTGTATTTAAAGAGATCAGAGAAAACTGACCTTATATGAGAGGTAATCTTTGAATTGAGGTTCGAAATGCAAATGTATTACTACAGTGGGACAATAACAGGATGACCTTGCAATAAAGGGTTTTACTTCATATCGGTTACCAACTGTAAATCGATCGAGTTTAGAAAAGAAGTGTTTAATTCAACAGAGACTACAAAAGATCTCCCTTCCACACAACATTCCGTTAATATAAAAAATACCTTTAGATATGACAAAAGACAAACACTGACGACAAGTCAACATTCCGTTAATGTACAAAATTCTGTTGATGGAGAATCAATTTTATATTATATATATATATTCAAATTAGATATCTAATTAAATACCCCTTCTTCGACAACAGATGTTATAACATGAAAGCGGAAAGGTTTGCATATTTAATATATATACTCAGAGACTTCAACCTTGGTGATCTACTGTTAAGATCGAACTTTGTGACACAATTTGCAATCAGCAAGGTTGAATGTTTAAAAGTTGCCGACATTTTAGGACTGTATCTGTATCTATGCCTGAGTTTATTCTAAGCCAATTTTTATTGACATTGAAGGATCAGAAAGGTTTTTTCTTTTTATTTAAGGGACCTCCGGTTGTCTTTGAAAACGGAGATTGAGCACACAACATAATACGAACACGCTACAATGAGACAATTACGGTGAATTAAGCATTTTGAAAGTACAGAAGTTTGAAAAAACACCAATAACAATAGAATATGGTAGGAGTTGTATAAAAACAATTTTATACGTCAAGGTGTTATAAGTTTTCTTCAGATAAATCACTTTTCTCTTTACTTATTACATATGCAGCCAAGTTAAGTATTTTTTTAACAGACTGAAATTTAATATACTTACCAGGTGTATCAAACTCCGGTATAACGCGTACTCCACGTAATCGGGCATACTCAATTATATCAGTGATGTCTTCGTGTGTATATACAAGGGATGGATGATATGCGCCCTGCAAAATACTCATATAATGACTTTTGAATAATTATAAATGGTGTGTACATCATTATCAAAACTATGTAGATTCAGTGTGTTAGACACTATAGTCTATAGACATAAAAATGTGTATGAACATTTCCAAAATTCCTGACGTTTGTGTAATGTACTAAGGAACGATAGAGATGTTGAGCTGTCCTGTTGTTTTAAAAAGAATTTAAAAGACATTACGATGTAAGAGAAAAACAATTTGACTTCTTAAGAAGACCAGCAAACATTAAATTGGTAGAAATTCCTATTAGAAAAATATACAAATTTTACCAAAGATTGAAGTCGTGTTTTGTATGTTCAGCATAAGATGATTACCATGTTAATACACATGGTTACTAAGTAGGTATATTCCAAATGTATTAAATGTACTTACTTTGATCATCGACAAAAACATTACCCTGTGCGGAGCACAACTCATTATTTTGTATTTATCTTGTAACCAGGCTTTTTGATTTTTATAAACCATTTTAATACATTTGTACAATATCTTCTTGTGACAAGTTTTATCAAAGCCAGGGGAAAAGCCTACCTCTATGTGTCGTTTGTTTGTTTTTGTCATTGAGTTGCTGTCTAGTTGACGTATACGCCACAACTCCTTTTATTCATATTGATGCGCTTCCATGGAAATATAGGCGGAAACAATCTGTTTTGTTTAGTGTTGACCTTAATTTTTAGCATTTGAGCAACAAATTCCCTTTAGAGTTAAGACTGGTGAATATTTAATTCTTACGTTGATGTTACTGGTAATTTGTTGATTCCTTAAGGAAGACCACTAGTCATTTTTCCTAGGTTATTTTTTAGATATATTTTTTTATGGCTTTCCATTATTTTGGCTATTGACGTTCCTAAGGAAATTTTATTCGGATAGCATATGTCATCTATATTTATATGTTAGGGAATGTTGATAGAATGAGTCTCAATGTTACCGAAGACCAACATACCACTAAGCACGACTTGTTAACCTAATGACAGCTTTGACAGCTAGACTGTCGACTGTGTGTCCTTTTGACCCGTTTACTTGTTGATCTGTTGACTTGCTCAACAAAATATATGTTAATTTATGTTTTGATGACCCAATGAATTTTTGAACCTGTTCTCCATCTTGAATTAAGCGTTTATTTCGAAAGTGAGGAAAATTTGGAAGGCGCAGTAGTTTGTGTCGCCCGTGCGTATTACTATAAAAAAAAATAACCGGAACTACATAAACGTATACTATATTCGGACCGACTAAAGCATGATACTAAGAAGTATTCTTTTTTTTAGCCTACCTTGTTACTTAGATCGGGGAATACTTTACTTTGGTAGGGAAATGACTGATCATCAACTAAGTGCCAGTGTAGTACGTTCATTTTGTTCTGGTACATTCCTTCCTTAAAATAGCAATGAAATCTCACTTGTTATTTTAATTGTACTTCTTATAATTAAATAGATTATCTCGACCTTCAGTTATCAAACTTACAAACCAACAACTGTATGTTACAAACGACACTATTTTAATCTTTATATTGGCAATTTGAAGTTAAAGCCTCCCGACTATTCACTACAACTTACTGGTTTCCTCGACTGCATTGGAAAGTACTGTGTTAAATAATTGTAAAAAGTAAAATAACAAAAATACCGAACTCCAAGGAAAATTCAAAATGTAAATTGAACCTGACAAAGGAGAAGATAGTACACAAAGGGTTAAATATTTTCCCATTGAGAGTTTTTAATAATAGCTAGATCGTTGATTCAAGCTGATTCCTCATTTGTTTCGCCAAAACTCGACGTTTTATAAAAATCAGCCAACCCCCGATTGTTTTTTTTTTCAATTAATCCATGCGTTTCATTGTTTCGACATTGTCAAGCTTTAAATCGGCCCAAGTCTAACAGCGGTGTGAATAAATGTAACAACAACTTAAAATCTGCCATCACGGCAAAAATTTCCAAAATACCAAAAATTCAGACATGACACGATAAAGACATTCACTGGCGAAGTTAAAACGAAAAGTACATAAAAGAACACAGTGGTAAAGATCTAGTGGATCTCTTTATTTTCATATACAAGATATCAGATCCTGAAAAGAACGGTATAAAAGTCACCAATACTAGTCCAAGTAAATCAACGATAAACAATAGTACCTCCGAGAATGCTCGCAGTTACTGAAATCAAGATCAAAGTACCTAATCATCGTGTCGTCCTTCACGTAATATAGATGGTCGGAGTAGAATTTTTATACAGAACATAATAGACAGGACAGCAAGACATAATCCTGTAGAATGTACAGAACAGCCAAACTGTACAAAACTTTACTGCAGGAAAACAAATGTAAAAGCATTTAAATCATTTTAATTTTTTGAACCATCTTTTATAAATTTAATTTTTCTACTATTAAAGAACATTTGATAATTGAACAAAAACTGGTATGACAAAATGCAAGCCGAGTTAAAAATTACATCAATTTCTTTTCTTTCTTTTACTTTTGTTGATTTTGGGGGTGGGGGTGGGGTATTTATCATTTTCCAAAAAAAAAACAAGTTAAATAAAAAGTGTTTTGCAGCATCAAGTGTAACCAGATGGAAAAGAAGGACAAAGAGAACAGACGAAATCACACAAATAAATAAAATAAATATGATTACAATATTTGAAATAGTACAAATACATTGAATTTATAAATAAATCATATATGTAACTTACCAGAATATCAAGCATAACTTCTTTTGTCATGAAATGTCGAGCGGAATCAACGAGTACACCTCTATGCTTAAAACGAGGAAAATCACGTATTGAAGTATCTCGAACATATAGCTAAAACGAAACGCACGAAGCAAAACTGTATCATGTTCATAGAACTTTTCGAACGAAAACAAAAATCTGTATAACGTTCAATAGCGGTTTTCGAGCTAGTCTCTTTTAGGGAAGGCTTGGTTGTAAATGTGGAAATTGTTTAAACATGAAGATGTCTTTTTTGTGCTATGATTTCCAGTTTGATGTTCTTTCAAGATTTTTAAATACTATTAATTGTGTATTTTTGGTTAAATTATTCAATCTAGCGTCAGTTTTATCTGACGTATAATTTTATTTGTGATTGGATTAATTTTCATTAGTTGTGACTTAACAAATCAGTTTTATGTTTGCATTTTAAAATGTAATTTAGATACACTTCATTTTGAAGCATGGAACTTTACCTGTCCTTTGTAGGAAAATATAACTTGACTGAGTGTTTCTATTCCCCTCAGGGCACCCCATACTTCCTCACTCCTCAGGACAATTCCTGTCTTCTTTATATCTAGTGTATCTATACAAATAAAAGAAACTCATTTATTTCTGCATTAAAATTTTAAAACTTTACTTTGGGCATTTCACAAGATCCTGTGTTCCTCTACCGTATTGTAACGAAAACCGAGCGGTCGGGCCTTAGTGTTAAACTTTAAATGTTTATCCCTTAGTGCGTTGCTATAAAAATGTGTTTCGTTAGAATGTACGAGTATATAAGAAATAAAAGTTATAACTGGTGACCCTTCTTTGGTAGCGTGGTACTATGTGGTACTCTGGTAAGATGAAGACTTGGATAAAAAGGGGTATATCGGGAAATACGTGTTTGGCCTGTGAAAGTGTCTGTGTGTTTTGTATGTAACTCTCCGTATTAGTGTTTGTAGGAATAACAGACTCGTTAAATAAAAATCAACTTATATTAACTTTAAGATGCATTAAATATCAACAATACAGATAAATATTAAATAACTTAACAATATCATAACCTTATAGATAAATATATTATTAACTTCCTAACGTGAATTAAAGAAAAGGGACAGCGGAAAAATATAGGGGGGGGGGAGACAAAGAACCGACAATCGCAGTTGACTTATAAATTCAAGAAAGGCCCTACCTATATCCACTTGATGAGACATACGTGAAAATCCGTAAAATCCTATACAACTTTAATAGATGGACGCCAATTTTGTTACAGTATTATGTATTGCTATATGCAATATACCTCGAAGTACCGCATTCCACCAGATGATGTTTTCCTCTACCGTATGATGCATTGCTATATGCAATATACCTCGAAGTACCGCATTCCACCAAATGATGTTTTCCTCTACCGTATGATGCATTGATATATGCAATATACCTCGAAGTACCGCCGTAGATATTAGAATGTTGGTCGGACTTATTTTAGAGAGATAAGTAATTCTAACTTACCTTAAGTAACTGACAGCCTTCTTTGATATGGTTTATGGTGTTTGTCTGTCTATGATATTATAGAGATAAAAATAAGAAGATGTGGTATAATTGCCAATGAGACAACTCTCTACCAGAGACCAAATGACGGAGAAGCTAGGTATAAGGAAAGGCTTGAGATCTCACAAAACATGTTTAACCCCGCCTCATTTTTTGAGCATGTCAAAAGTCAGGAACCACTGTTCATTTATATGTTTCGGAGTTTAGTGTGACTTCCATTTTCTCTGAACTAGTATACATTTTTGTTTAGGGGCCACCTAATTTTCTCGCTGTGTTGAAGACATATTGGTGGCCTTGAGCTGTTTTCTGCTCTTTGGTCGGGTTGTTGTCTCTTTGGAACATTCCCCGTTTCCATTCTCAATTTTATTAGCTATAGGTCACCGTACGGTCTTCAACAAGGAGCATAACCCATACCCCATAGTCAGCTAAAAAAGGCCCCGAAATGACAAATGTTAAACAATTCAAACGAGAAAACTAACCGCCTGATTTAAGTACAAAATAATGAACGAAAAACAAATAAGATACACAGCAACAAACGACAATCACTGAATTACAGGCTCCTGATTTGGGACAGGCACATACAGAATGTTAATTCTGTAACGGAAATTGGTCTAAGTTCACTAATTTTGCTGTAAAATACCAGTTGTCCTTTCTATTGATTGTGTTTCTACATGTATATAAGTTTTTCCATGGTTGGAACACCATCTGTTACTTCAAAACACCCATACAGTTGGTATGTGCTTGATTTTACCTTACCACCCCATATAAGTATAATGGACTGATCCAGACGGTAGTATATAAACCAGCTCAAGACAGTGAAACGCCGAACCGACCGTGCAAGGGCCGTATAGCCAGTCAAGGTCGTTAAAAACTTCCATTTGTTGTTGTGTGAAACGCCGTCAGTTTTGTGTTGGCCATTGAAGGATAAACTTTACGGATTATATTCAAACTGGTAAGTAGAGTGAATTTAGTGATTCCAAAGGAAATAAATAGTGTTTGGATTTATATGTGAATATTTGCAATAGTGATTGTGATATAAAGTGAAACTTATATAATAAGTTATTGTACAGTGAAAGTACAAGGTGTATGCTTGCTGGTGTTGCAAGTTGTTATATTGTGGATTTGATTTGATTTTTGGTGTTTTAACGCCACTTTTAAGCACCGCTTTTGGGCTATTTTGTGGCGGCCAGTTTTTATTGGTGGAGGAAGCCGGGGTGCCCGGAGAAAACCACTGACCTTCTATAGGAAAACTGACAATCCTAGTTAATTAAGATTGGAGTCGAGTGTACAACCTCAGTGTTGACTGGCTAGTGATTACAGTAATAACTACTTATACCACTCGGCCACCGAGGCCCCGTTATATTGTGGAAGGGGTAATTCCTCCTAGAAGTGTTTAAGTGAAAGTGCACTGTGTTTAATCTTTCCAGTTTGGAGAATATTCATTTCGTTCGGATGCATAGTGATAATTAGTGTGTGAGTTGAGCTGTGTTCATATAAATTCCTTGTGCATTGAAGGATTTGTACAAGTGTCATTGTGTCATTGTGTTATTGTGGTTAATTGAACATTCACAAGGTGATACTACAAATTGGTGGATATTGTTAATAGATGTTGTATATATGTGTTATTGTGTTCATACGTTTTTTGTGATACTTACCTGATGCATGTTGCATAGTAATCTGTTGGTGACATTGTTTAATAAAGGGCATGATGCATGTTGCATAGTGATCCATTAGTGACATTTAATAATTAGGCCTGATACTTGTTGCATAGTGATTGCATATTGACATTGTGTATATACATTCTATTATGAAACATTGTGTTTATGCATTGTTTGTGTAAGACGATTTTTACTCTGTTGGTTTTATTGACCTGCATCAGTTACACTACATGTCCCTATGACCCAACTACCTGTTAATAATTGCTAGTAAATTAAATCAAATCCTGACAATATGCAACGGTACATCATTACTATATGTGTAGATACACTCTGAAATTAATAACTTTGTTTCTTGAAACTGTTTGAGCAGTTGAGTGGACAAATCATGTATCCCTTTATCAGATAGAAGTAAATTGTTAATCTTAATAACATTAACGTTTTTTCTTCAACAAGGAATGATAGAATGTGAACAAAGACTCCCCTAGTTTGGTTACCGGGTATTTTCTAGTATTTCAGTGTTCTCTCTTGGAAATTTCATATGGCATTTCTATTTAGGAGTGTATATATCATCTACATGCATGACATTTAGGGAAACAGATATTTTAATTCAATGTAATCATACCGAATATATTTTGTACATGTATCATTTATCTCTGACCTTAAAAAAATATTTTTTTCATAAATCTCATTGCTCTCATTTTCAATTTCATTCCACAATTAAAGAACCTTTGTGAGCACGCTCACATTCCCCACGCCCCCACATTGACACTTAGCAAACAAAATCTCACGAGATGCCTAAGTGTCACATACTCATAACTCTGTGGATATGCACATTTACATAGTATGTCCTTATTATCTACAAAGTTTCATGAAATTCTGTTGTGTGGTTTCAGAGGAGTTGCGGTGACAAACCGTTGCAGTAGTATATTGAGGCCAATAAGTTCAAAGGGGCATAACTCCTTGAAAAAAATTGAATCATAATTTCCTGTCGATATGCATATCTACATAGTATGTCCTTATTATCTACAAAGTTTCATGACATTCTGTTGTGTGGTTTCAGAGGAGTTGCGATGATAAGAACAGGACTGACGGAATAACAGACGGACAGACGGACTGACGGGTCAAAAATATTATACCCGACGCAAAATTTGCGTGGGGTACAGGCATTTTTGTCAAAGTAAACATGGTGAATATATGCAAATTAAAATATACCAAAATTCTTTAAAAAGAAAAAAAAAACACTACAAAGAAAAAGTAACAAATGGACTCCCAAGATGTCAACTGCAACTGCAAAAATGCATAATGCTGATTGTTTACAATGCAACTGTACAAAAAACCATGATGCAGATGAACCTTATATTCATGAACATAGATCATTGTTCAAATGTACAAAAATGATGATGCTAATATAAATAGCATTACTTACTGCACAAGTACTTACACATGAAGTTGGTGTACAATGACCATTGTTAAAAAGCTATGTCATTTTTGTCTATTAAAAGAATAGGGATAAATTTTAAAAATGCATTTTGGTATGTTTTTCATTGCGAGGAATTTCACTTTTCACACACATTCATATGAATTATAATCAAATATGAAGTACATTTGTTATTATATTTATATTGTAAAATTTTATAACTATGATTTCCTGTTTAAAAGTGTACAGTATTAAATTGAGACATAAAAAAAAATTCCATGTACATTATTGTATTACCTTATTTCAAAATGATTTTAACAGAAAACGTCAACAATAACACATGTTACGTATACATGTGTGGTGAGTACTTAATAGATATAATTTTAAAAGACCCTCCAATTAAAAAGATAAATGTGCATGTACATGTTCATAGTACACATGTATCAGATGTAAATAGTTAACTTGAAAAGCTGTGTATAAACATGTTGAGTTCAACAGACATTTATAACACAAGGTAGCACTACAGTTATTTAAAACTTATTAATATTTAGACTCATTAAAACATATTTTGTTTTTAAATTATCTTGAACTGTCATTTGACTTGCATGTACATGTACTTGCACAAATGTATGTTATACAATCACACATATTGTTAAGTTTTGTCTTAACATTCTGTAAATTTTTAACATACATACATGTATATGGCATGTTTAGTCCATTAAATCAATGTTGAGAAAATCCCAATTTATCCATTAATTATCAGTGGAAAATACGGAACTACAAACATATGTAAACCATAAGGGAACATTGTAATGGTTATTGCAGTATGATGAAAATAAACAACACTTTTTAAATGAAAACATAATAAATCTCAAGTTTTGTACACCCACCCTCCAAAATTCAAAGAATTAAAAAAAAGTATTTCATAAATAAAAACACAAGTAAAATTGTTTTGAAAGATTTCCCCTTTTGGATTTG